ATGACACTTTCGATTTTAGACTTTAGAGTTGATGCTGGAACAAGTTAAGACTTTTAGGCTGGATGCAGTAACTCACGCCTATAATCCCAGCACTTTGGGAGGCTGAGGAGGGCGGATCATCTGAGGTCAGGAGTTTGAGACCGGCCTGGCCAACATGGAGAAACCCTGTCTCTACTAAAAATACAAGAATTAGCTAGGTGTGGTGGCCCATGCCTTTAATCCCAGCTGCTCGGGAGGCTGAGGCAGGAGAACCGCTTGAACCTGGGAGGCGGAGGTTGCAGTGAGCTGAGATCCTGCCTTTGCACTCCAGCCCGGGTAACAAGAGCGAAACTGTCTCAAAAAAATAAAATAAAATAAAAAGACTTTTGAGGTTGTTGGGATGTAACGAATGTATTTTGCGTGTGAGAAGGACATGAGTTTGGAGGAATGGAGTGGAGGGGCGGGGTGGGGGTGTCAGGATGCTGTATACTGAATGTTTGTGTTCCCTCTGAACTTACATGTTGAAATTTTAACCCCAAGTGCGATGGTATTAGGAGGTGGGACCTGTGGTAAGTGATTAGGTCATAAGGGCAGAACCTTCACCAGTGGGTTTAGTCCCCTTTTAAGAGAGACCCCCGAGAGCTCCCTTGTCCTTTCTGTCATGTACGGTGACAGTGACAAGAGGGCAATCTGTGAAGCAGGAAGCAGACCCTCACCAGACAGCACATCTGCTGGCACCTTCATCTTGGACTTCTTAGCCTCCAGAACTGTGAGAAATGAATTCCTGCTGTTTATAAGCCACCCAGTTTATAATATTCTCTGATAGCAGCCCAAGCTAAAATAAGCTGTATTCCAACTATATTTGTATTTTAGCATTATTGTCTTGAGTTATAAACGTTCGTGTTTACACCATGGATATATGCACAAATGATCTTTTTTTTTTTTTTTCTTTGAGATGGAGTCTCGCTCTGTCGCCCAGACTTGAGTGCAGTGATGCAGTCTCTGCTCACTGCAAGCTCTGCCTCCCAGGTTCAGGCCATTCTCCTGCTTCAGCCTCCCAAGTAGCTGGAACTACAGGCGCCTGCCACCGCGCCTGGCTACTTTTTTATATTTTTAGTAGAGACCAGGTTTTACCTGTGTAGCCAGGATGGTCTTGATCTCCTGACCTCGTGATCCACCCGCCTCGGCCTCCTAAAGTGCTGGGATTACGGGCGTGAGCCACTGCGCCCGGCCATGATCATTTATTTTTAGTAACCAGAAAGTGGACATTAGTGTTGATGCATAGAATTGTTATTAAAAAGACTTGTTTCTTTTTATTTATTTGTTTATTTATTTTTGAGATGGAGTCTCACTCTGTCGCCGAGGCTGGAGTGCAATGGCATGATCTCGGCTCACTGCAACCTCCGCCTCCTGGAGTCAAGCAATTCTCTGCCTCAGCCTCCTGAGTAGCAGGGATTACAGGCACGTGCCACCACGCCTGGCTAATTTTTGTATTTTTAGTAGAGACGGAGTTTCACCATCTTGGCCAGGCTGGTGTTGAACTCCTGACCTCGTGATCCACCCGCCTTGGCCTCCCAAAGTGCTGGGATTACAGGTGTGAGCCACCGCGCCCAGCCAAAAAAACTTGTTTCTTTTTTTTTTTTTTTTTTTTGAGACGGAGTCTCGCTCTGTCGCCCAGGCTGGAGTGCAGTGGCCGGATCTCAGCTCACTGCAAGCTCCGCCTCCCGGGTTCACGCCATTCTCCGGCCTCAGCCTCCCGAGTAGCTGGGACTACAGGCGCCCACCACCTCGCCCGGCTAGTTTTTTTTTGTATTTCTTAATAGAGACGGGGTTTCACCGTGTTAGCCAGGATAGTCTCGATCTCCTGACCTCGTGATCCGCCCGTCTCGGCCTCCCAAAGTGCTGGGATTACAGGCTTGAGCCACCGCGCCCGGCCTAAAAAAACTTGTTTCTAAAGCAGTTGGTTTCACAGGGTTTTAATTGTTTACCTATCATTTGACACCTGTGCCTAACTGCATTAATTATCATATGGAATTTGAAAATTAGATTTATTTATCAAAGTTGCTTCATTGATTTCCTCTTCATGATGTATGCTGATAGAAAAGAAAGTGCTAGGATCAGCCTGTAATCCTAGCACTTTGGGAGGCCGAGGTGGGAGGATTGCTTGAGGCCGGGAGTTTGAGACCATACATATCTTCGTGATATGTATGCTGATAGAAAATAAAGCTACATTTAAATAAAGTATTGTGTTAATAAAATATACCCCTGGGCCCAAAGTGGCCTTGCTAGTACTCTACTTAAGTCCCAGCAGGTTGATACTAGTTCATTTTCTCCATTTATTTAACTGACTAAAGTACTAGAGTGCTGTAGCAGGTGATTTTTTGTTTTGCTCATGCTGGTTTCTTTTTTTGAAGGGCAGGGATGTGTTTGTTGTGCCAAGTTCTTAAAAAGCAAGCAGGCTTGCCAACAGGTTTGTGGAGATTCTCTGGGGATGTCATGAAGGAGGACCGATTTGTAAACTAGTACTAATCAGGCTGCTTCAACCCCTTTGGAAGGTTTACAGGGCTGTTGATGATATATGCACTGTAGAGCTGGGAATTGTTTATGCACATCTCTTGGCCAGCTGTCAGGAAGGTAAGAGCTGATCTACTCCGAAGCCAAAGGAAGGGTAATATAGGACTTTGTTGGGTGGTGCCCAATGCTATTTCACTTATCTAGGAATTTTCTACATGTGTGTATGTACTTAAGGAAGGATAAAGTCATTCAGACAACTTAGACTTATGTAGTTGTTTAAGCATATTATCAGGGACCTCTACATACCCACACGGATACTTCCCTTCTGTCTCCAACTTTCTCTTAGCTGATCTCTTCTGCCAGGTCATAAGCAAGATAGAGGAAGGTCCCAGTTTGTAAGGGAAAAAAATCCTCACAGATAATTAAAAGTTATTTCTAGTTTAGGGCTAAAGGTTCAGAGAATTGGACTATAGTTTCAATTTGGCCCTTAATTAACTAGTTGACTTTTAATAAATTGCCTTCCCTTGCAACTCCTCATCTGTGAAATGAGGGAGTTGGACAAGATGTTCACTTCAGCCCCTGACATCACTCATGGTTTTGCAATTCTTTATTTGTTGAGGCCGCTACCAAAACCTGTAACAGCATTTACATCATGTATATTCAGGCTTCACTTATTGATGGGGATACATTCTGTGAAGTGCATCATTAGGTGATTTCATTATTGTGCAAACATCGCAGAGTGTACTTACTCATACCTAGACAGTATAGCCTACTACACACCGCAGCTATGTGGTATAACCTGTGGTTCCTAGGCAACAAACCCGTAGAGCATGTTACCGTACTGAATACTGTAGGCAGCTATGACACAGTGCTAAGTATTTGTATATCTAAACAGAAAAGGCATGGTAACAATATGGTATCATAATCTTCTGGACTCACCATCATATAAATAGTCCGTTGGTGACCAAAGCATCTTCATGCAACGTGTAGCTATATTCTATCATTGAAGACCACTGCAGATTACATTTATCTGTGTGCGAAAATTTGCAGTGCACAGCTGTCTTCATTGATGGATACTTAACTTTAATGAACATTAAGATTTAGCATTGTGTATTGTGTAAGAGAGCTATACATAGTATTAAACCTGTCAGTGTTAGACAGCTATGGAATTTTTGCTTTTATTTCCCAGAATCTAAACATGGATTCAGATACTTCTCAAAGATATTGTTGGAATGAACTTTTGGAAAAAGTTTTGAAACCCTGAAAGTTGAGATTAAGTTTGTTTGTTTTTCCTAGGTGTATTTCATGTACTGAGTGCCTTAGAGACTTGTGCCTAAGGATGGTAACTTCTAGGGGGGAAAACTTCAAGAATTTGGTACAGCTTCACTTACAGCTTTATCATAAGTACTGTGGATTAATAGATTAGTTAGAAGCCTTTGGCTGTACTTTGCATAGATCTTACCTTAAACTAACTTGAATAATAAGGAAATAGTTGATTCTGTAACTAAGTACAGAGGAATGTCAGGCTTCAGGGTCAATTCAATTCAGTGTCATAGGCTCTACTTCTCAGGAATTCTGAAATTACCTTCTCTGTGCTCCCATTGGGACAGAATAACGATAGCAGTCTTTTTACTGTGTGTTCGTATACTGCATCATTGGGGTTTCTCAACCTTACTACTCTTGACATTTGGGGCCAGGTAATTCTTTATTATTGTGGGACTGTCCTGTGCCTTGTAGGATGTTTGGCAACATCGCTGGCCACTACCCACTTAATGCCAGTAGCGCCTCAGCCCTGCGTTGTGATAATCAAAAATGTCTCCAGGACTGGGTGCGGGGGCTCATGTCTATAATCCCAGCACTTTGGGAGGCCAAGGCGGGCAGATCGCTTTGAGCTCGGGAGTTTGAGACCAGCCTGGGCAACGTGGTGAAACCCCGTCTCTACTTAAAATACAAAAATTAACCAGGCGTGGTGACACAGACCTGTAATTCCAGCTACTCGGGAGGCTGAGGCTGGAGAATCGCTTGAGCCTGGGAATTGCACCACTGAGCTGAGATTGTACCACTGAACTCCAGCCTGCGTAACAGAGTGTGATCTTGTCTCAAAGAAAGAAACAAAAAAAGTCTGCAGACATTACCAAAAGTTTCTTGGGGGACAAAAACACCCTGATTGAGAACTGCTGGTCTGAAGGAATATAGACCATTTTATCAGGTGGCTATCGTAAGTGGGAGGCAGTGTGCTTCCTAGAAGACCCCAAATTTCCCCCTACTTTTGTCTCCCATTGGCTCATCCTGAGTCACTCCCCAGTTCCTGAACCCCCATCACTGGTGAGGCGGGGTGGAATGTTCTTTGGACTCACCAGGGCACCTCTGGAGCTAGGAATGTGACTGTTGAGGGTGAGCCGAGTCTCTCAGTATGGTTGGTGGGAAGGGAGAATGAAAGCTGAGTAGGAACTCAGTAATATCCATGACCACTGTACCCTAAATTTGCCCTTTTTTCTTCCTCTCAGTGAGGATTATGGGAAGAACTTTAAGGATATTACAAATCTCATCAATAACACCTTTATTCGGACGGAATTTGGCATGGCTATTGGTCCTGAGAACTCTGGAAAGGTGAGACTCATTCTTGTATACATAAAGCTTGTGCTTGATACCACATGCAGAGCTGTCAGATATTAGTATTGGCATGGTCCAGTGATTCACAATAATGTATTTTAGTTTAGTATTGCTATATTTGTATTTTAAAATTAAACACTTTTTTTTTTTTTGAAGACAAGGTCTCACTCTGTCCCTCAGGCTGGAGTGCAGTGGTACCATCACAGCTCACTGCAGTCTTGACCTTCTAGGCTCAAGGGATCCTCCCACCTCAGTCACTTGAGTAACTGAGACTACAGGCTCTTGTCACCACTCCCGGGTAATTTTTTCTTTTTTTTTTTTTTTTGTAGAGACAGGGTTTGCTATGTTGCCCAGGCTGATCTTGAACTCCTGGACTCAAGCGATCCGCCCACCTCGGCCCCCTGAAGTGCTGGGATTACAGGCTTGAGCCCCTGTGCCTGCCTTAAACACAATTTAATATCGGTCATATAAGAATGGAACTCTTGCCAGGCGCTGTGGCTCACGCCTGTAATTCCAGCACTTTGGAAGGCCGAGGCGGGCGGATCACGAGGTCAGGAGATCGAGACCATCCTGGCGAACACGGTGAAACCCCGTCTCTACTGAAAATACAAAAGGATTAGCCGGGCGTGGTGGCAGGCGCCTGTAGTCCCAGCTTCTAGGGAAGCTGAGGCAGGAGAATGGCGTGAACCCGGGAGGCGGCGGAGCTTGCAGTGAGCGGAGATTGCGCCACTGCACTCCAGCCTGGGCGACAGAGCGAGACTCCATCTCAAAAAAAAAAAAAAGAATGGAACTCTGAGCACACAGATTTATTTTTTTTGTTCCCCACCCAAGGTGCACCAAAGCCCTTAATAATTATGCAGCAGTTGCTTAACGTTCCAATGTATATACCCTATGACAACATTTTAGTCTTTTGGAAAACTAATCTCAGTTATTCAGCCTAATCTAGGCTTGAACCCACAGATACGATGTCCCAGCTCAGTTCAGGGTGTTATTTTTTGATAAGAATAAGACCCAAGGAGTAGAGTGGAGCAACTAATCGGTTTTTATAACTCTTCTTACTTCTAGAACTAAGATTTCTTAACTAATGTCTGGTGAAAATGGTGTACGAACTCGTGTGCTTACATAGATAGTATCATACCCTGAATCAGATCTTTCCTCTTCCTGTCAGGTGGTATTAACAGCAGAGGTGTCTGGAGGAAGTCGTGGAGGAAGAATCTTCAGATCATCAGATTTTGCGAAGAACTTTGTGCAAACGGATCTCCCTTTTCATCCCCTCACTCAGATGATGTATAGCCCTCAGAATTCTGACTATCTTTTAGCTCTCAGCACTGAAGTAAGTCCAGTTGAGGAACATGGTTTGTCTTTTGCATTTTAGAGTCTCAAATGTACTGTCTTAGAAGGATCCTTTAGGAAATGCTTTTAATATTGGACTTCTTTCTAGAATCTCCTTATGGCATGAAGTTTGTATTTTTTTTAACAATTTTTCCTATTTGGTAAAGGACACAATTTCCATGTGCTATCTATTCCAGGTAAGTATGATGCCTAGTTGTCATTGTAATTTTTTTAAGTGACTAAATGTATGGTATTGTAGTAATGAACTAGAAAACAGTTTAATTTAACCATTCTTATGCTACAAGGGACAAGCATAAATTGTCAAACTCCTGATGTTGTCATTGTTTCTTTTCTGTGATCAGACAACATCTTTCTATTTTTTTTTCTTTTTTGTTAGGTCATCAGTTTATAAAACATACTGGTTTCTGTAGTTGGCACTCATGTATAAATATCCAAAGTCTTAAATCCCTGCGCTCCCTACCACATTCCTATACTTTCTCCAGAAACCAGTGTGTTTTCCTAACCCTCTCACTTCTCTTCTGAAAGTTCTCTGAGGAACACATTCAGTTTCTCCTTTCCTGGAGGACCAGTCTCCTTTACTGTGGTTAAGGGCCCAAAGTGGCTGAGTTGCTAGACTGTAATAATCAGAATTATACTTTACATTTTTATGGCCTTCTCTCATCAGATAGAAACACCTGAGGAACTAGTTAAAGAGGCACATCCCTTTGCCCAAACCCAGAGATAATAAGTCAATGACTTCTGTTGTAGGGTGGCCAATATTTTTAACAGGCTCCCTAGCTGAGCCTGAGCACCAAAGTTTGAGAGTCATTGCTGTACTGTTTTGGGGTCAGAAACAAGATCATAACTGTGAACTAGTCAGGCTGAGCAAAGGGTGACATAGGAGGATGAAGGGCACTAGAAGAGAGATCTGGATTCTGGGCTTTCTGTGGGGAGATTTTTGAGCAGAGGTCAGGCTAGGGGGTTCCAGGAGGGCCAGAGTTATGCTGCTTTTTGAGACAGTTTTGCTCTTCTTGCCCAGGCTGGAGTGCAATGGCACGATCTGGTCTCACTGCAGCCTCCACCTCCCGGGTACAAGCGATTCTCCTGCCTCAGCCTCCAGAGTAGCTGAGATTACAGGCATGTGCCACCACACCCAGCTAATTTTTTTGTATTTTTAGTAGAGACAAGGTTTCACCATGTTGGCCAGGCTGGTCTCGAACTCCTGACCTCAGGTGATCCGCCTGCCTCGGCCTCCCAAAGTGCTGGGATTACAGGCGTGAGCCACTGTGTCCGGCCTCAGAGTTATGCTTAGCAGTGGAGGCTGGGGGAAGGAAACTAGCTTGCTGGGGAGTAAGCTTCAGATCTTAGAACAATTCCTGGAAATTGACCTCCAGCAGCTTAAGCTGAAAGCACTACAAGGGAGCAAGGAGCCCTCCCTAGGAGTGAACAGGCCCATAGAGCTCCCCTTTGATTACCACATCTCCTTTACCAAGTGTCTCAGGGTTATTAAAACAGCACTATCCTCAGAAAGAGACAGATACAATCTGCTTCGGTACCTGAAATGTCTTCCATTTAAGGGTAAGTCTGAAGTACATATAATTGGGCTGGAGAAGAGGGACCAATTTGTACTAAAGTGCAAATAAGTGGTATCAAATTCTGCCTTGTCTTTATAAGTAGAATTAGATAAATTAGAAATGCTGGGATGAGCCGGGCGCGGTGGCTCACGCCTGTAATCCTAGCTCTCAGGGAGGCAGAGGCAGGAGGATAGCTTGAGCCCAGGAGTTCGAGACCTGCCCGGGTAATATAGCGAGACCCCGTTCTCCACAAAAAGGAAAAAAAAAAAAAGAAATGCTGGGATGTGAATATATTACCAGGGGAGAAAAAGTTAAAGGAGAATGGTGGGTGAGAGTACAAGAGTACTGAACATAAATTCTGCCTAAATAAGTTACATTTATTTCAGCTAGACTAGGACATCTCTGTCCTATCTCCGCTGAGGCTGAGCTCATTAAGCTCACATTACCAGTGTTATGTTGTCAGTCAGGGTTTTGTTAAGTCTCTGCTACATTTCAAACTATTGGCCAATTCCTCCTTTTGAGAACTCTAATTATTTGGCTTCTGTGACATTATTCCTTTTAGTTCTTCTAGCTTTCTAGCTATTCCTTCTTAGTATCTTCCTTAACCTCCTTTCAGCCTACCCTTAAATGCCTACTCCTCATTTCACTGAGCAGTCTCTTCCACTCTTACCATTTAACTACCACCACCTATAATGTGTAAGATTTTCAAATACTTATCTCTAGCCCTGGCTTTCCCCTAATGCATCATATTCCTGTCTTGCTGCCCCCTGAATATCTCTAGCTGGATGTTCCACAAGCACCTTAAATCAATTTAAAACTGAGCTTCCTCCCTACTGTTCTCTCAGACCTGATCTTCTTCCCTTAATCCTTATACTAGTTAATGATATCACAATGCATCCTATACCCCAACCAGAAAACCAGAGTGACCAATTTACATGTGCACGCACACACACACACACATCCCCCATACCCCTACCTCTCATCCTGCCCTGGAGGAAAAGTCATCCAGTTCTACTATGCTAGCTTCTAAATTCTTGCAGAGCCTGTTCCTCATGGCCAGTGTTCAAGACCTCATTAGCTCTTACCGAACTAATGTGGCAGTCGTTCACTGCTTTTCCTGCCTCTAGTCTGGACCCTCTGAAATCCGTCTTTCCCATTCTCATCCAAGTACTCCACCTAAAAAAGTGAAATGGACTGTGTCATCCTCCTGCTTAGCACACATTCCTCCTGGGAGCACCTCATATGCAATAAGCCCTGGAGTCCTTACCATGGCACAGAAGGAAGGCTCTCTGTGAGCTGGCCTCACCTTTCTGCCTAGCGTTAGTTCCTCATTTGCTTACCTTGGAATTTGCACTCCAGTAATGTCTGATGGCTTTTAGCTCCCTATACACGCTGCAGGGTTTATGACCTCCTTGCCTTTGCTAATACTAGTCTCTCTTTGTGCAGCAACACCTCATCTCTCTGTTTACCTTCTTTTGGTCCCACCGCTCATCATTTAAAACTCAGCGCAGGCCAGGCGTGGTGGCTCAAGCCTGTAATCCCAGCACTTTGGGAGGCCAAGACGGGCGGATCACAAGGTCAGAAGATCGAGACCATCCTCGCTAACATGATGAAACCCCGTCTCTACTAAAAAATACAAAAAACTAGCCGGGCGAGGTGGCGGGCGCCTGTAGTCCCAGCTACTTGGGAGGCTGAGGCAGGAGAATGGCCTAAACCCAGGAGGCGGAGCTTGCAGTGAGCTGAGATCCGGCCACTGCACTCCAGCCTGGGCGACAGAGCAAGACTCCGTCTCAAAAAAAAAAAAAAAAAAAAAAAAAACTCAGTGCAGCTGTCTTCTTCAGGAAACTATCTCTGATGTGATGTTCCTCCTCTCCCCACTTCTATACTAGACCATATTTTATAACTCTGCATAGTGTTGAACTTTCCTCTTATCTATGCCCCTTGTTAAACTGTGAGCCCCTTCTCTCAGCAGGGAGTGTGTCTTACTCATCTTTGTATCCCCAGTGCAACATCTGGTACAGTGCCTGGCACGTAGTAGGCACTTCATACACGTTTGTTATTCTGAACTTTCAAGACCCCAAAAGGGCCCAGATAAACCATGTGTGCGTCTGGAGCTCGGGCAGCTCTGATGGAGCCTCAGTGTGTGTTTTTACTGTCCTGAATGATTGGATATGAAATATTAAAGGTCATGCAAGCAACTGCACAAGATAAAGCTAGAATTTTGATAAGTCATTTGTAATCTTTCAGAATGGCCTGTGGGTGTCCAAGAATTTTGGGGGAAAATGGGAAGAAATCCACAAAGCAGTATGTTTGGCCAAATGGTAAGTAACAGAAGACTCCATCTGTGCAGAGCCCTAAACCCTTTTCCTGATAGTGCTGCCAAAAATCACATGAATGAATATTGAGCACTTACTGTGTTCCAAGTACTCTTCAGGGTGCCATAAGGAATATCAGAGAGGGCTATGACACAGGCCTTGACCTGGAGGAGCTTCTCATTCTGCTGGGAAAGAAGACTTAGTCTCACTTAAATGTTAGAACATAAAGTATAAAACAAGGCATGTGACTGAGTTGCTGCTGCCTGCCCAGGGTTTATTCTCTATGAATGGTGACATCAATTAAAATACAATAAAATATAGCTTTAATTTAGGGATTTAAATACTTCTCCATGCCCAGATTTACACTCTCTTGTCTGGAGTTCCATTTCAGTTATGTAGAACATGGCAAGGAATCAGGAAGAAAGCTGAAAGAGCTTCCAGACTCCTGAAGTTACATTGCGCACCAAAACTCATTCACTTTTCTCGGAGAGATTCCCTGCCCCTCCGGGTGCCTGCTTAAAGAGGATGGAGTGGAGGGAGCTCTTACTTGGAAGTCGCATCACCTTTGTTCTATCCTCACTCTGCTGCTAGTCAGGGGCTCAACCTTCCTGGGCTTTAGTTTTTTTCCTTTTGTGAAAGGAGGCTTATTTGGAGAATGTGGGGATGGCTAAGCAAGAATTGAATTAAGAGGCTTCATGCCTCCAAAATCTGATTAGGCTCAGAATGTTGTTTAGAGCCTCTTTCTCCTTTCCCTTTGACTAATTTCAGCTAATTTGTGAATCCCAGTTTATAGCAGATTGGTTCCAGAGGTGGGATATGTAACTGCTGCAATAAGCACGTAACAGCATTAGAATTACAGCCTGACAGCTGGAAGGAGGTGGAATTACTCTAAAAGAACAGACAAAAACTTAGAGAATAAACAGTATGAAATTCTTTTTTTTTTTTTTTTTTTTTTTTGAGACGGAGTCTTGCTCTGTCGCCCGGGCTGGAGTGCAGTGGCCGGATCTTAGCTCACTGCAAGCTCCGCCTCCCGGGTTTACGCCATTCTCCTGCCTCAGCCTCCCGAGTAGCGGGGACTACAGGCGCCCGCCACCTCGCCCGGCTAGTTTTTTGTGTTTTTAGTAGAGACGGGGTTTCACTGTGTTAGCCAGGATGGTCTCGATCTCCTGACCTCGTGATCCGCCCGTCTCGGCCTCCCAAAGTGCTGGGATTACAGGCTTGAGCCACCGCGCCCGGCCAACAGTATGAAATTCTTTAGTGCTAGATCAAGAAAGTACACCTGGGTTGGTAACTTCTAATGGGAACACTGTGTTATAGTTTGATACAATTGATGTTCATGATCAGGACCCACAATACCAAGAGTTTCCTGTACTGGAGGAATCAGGAAAGTGTAGAATACAGATTTGAAATGCGTCTACCAAGATTAATTAAAGTATTAAATATGTTGCTTAAATAAAGTAGGCCTTTTCTAGAAATGTTCCTTGTTCTTGAGATATAGGGTATTGCTCTTCTGTCCAGGCTAGAGTACAGTGGCACAGTCATGGCTTACCACAGCCTTCACCTCCTGGACTTAAGTGATCCTTCTCCCTCAGGCTCCCAAGTAGTTGGGACTACAGGCATGTGCCACCATGCCTAGCTAATTTTTGTATTTTTATTTTGTGGAGATGTGGGGGGTCTCACTGTGTTGCCCAGGCTGGTCTCAAACTTCTGTGTTCAAGCAATCCTTCCTCCTCAGAACCTCCCAAAGTACTAGGATTATAGCTATAGGCCACCATGCCTAGCCCCAGAAATGTTTTTTTAATGAGGTTTTTATAGCACCACTCTGGTACACATGCCACATTTGCTTTCATTTTATGTATTCTAATAAATTGTATTTGTACCTTATACAGTTTTATCAGGAAGGAAGTAATTTTTTTTTTTTTTTGAGACAGTATCTTACTCTGTTGCCCAGGTTGGGGTGCAGTGGTGCAGTCTCGGCTCACTGCAGTCTCCACCTCCCAGGTTCAAGTGATTCTCCTGCCTCAGCCTCCTGAGTAGCTGGGATTACTGGCGTGCGCCACCACACCCTGTAGTAGAGATGGGGTTTCACCATGTTGGCCAAGCTGGTCTCAAACTCCTGACCTCATGATCTGCTCACCTCAGCCTCCCAAAGTGCTGGGATTACAGGGCGTGAGCCACTGCACCAGGTGGAAGTAATTTTTAAGATAACTAAGTTAAATTGTTTCACTCCTGATGGAACTAAAACATGTAGGTCATGTGTAAGTAAGACTTCAGTAATTTTTTTTTTTTTTTTAGATAAGGCGTGGCTCTGTCACCCAGGCTGGGATGTAGTGGCACGATCTCTGCTTCCCGCAGCCTCTGCCTCCTGGGCTCAAGTGATCCTCGCACTTCAGCCTTCCCAGCAGCTGGAACTACAGACATACACCTGGCTAATTTTTGTTAAATTTTAATCATTAAAACTCATATTTAGCCACGTGCAGTGGCTCATACCCATAATCCAAGTACTTTGGGAGGCTGAGATGGAAGGATCGCTTGAGACCAGGAATTCAAGACCCGCCTGGGCAACATAGTGAGACCCCATCTCTACAAAAAATTAATAAAAAGAAAAAAAAAAAGCCAAGCATGGTGGTGCACTCCTGTAGTTCTCGTTACTCAAAAGAATGAAGTGGGAGGATCACTTGAGCCAAGGAGTTCGAGGCTGCAGTGAGCTATGATTGCCCCACTGCACTCCAAACTAGGTGACAGAGCAAGACTCCATCACTTAAATAAACAAGCGCAACCTTATCTTTAAAACTAAAAAGTTATTTTAAAAGAGTATTTTGTTTTGTATCCTATGCAAGGTTTTTACTTTTGTATCTTTTTTTTGTTTAGTATCTAAATATGAATAACCAGGCTGCTGCTGTTTACTCACCTTTTTAGATCTCTGGTTTCTAGGAATTTACAACCTAAAGTTCTGAAAGAACATTCTCAAAACCAACACCTTTTTTTGGTTGTAATCCAGTAAGTGCTGGGAGGGTCTGAACCTAGTTCCCTGCAAACTCCCTTTCCAGGTTACATTTTAAATAATTCAACCACTGACCTAGTTGTCTATTTGAGATGGAAGAACTAAATTATTTAGCTCATACAAAGCATTGAACTTGATTCTGAAGGGAAACAGCAAAGCATAGTACCTGCCCTGAAGAAGCTAATTTATATAGTAGGAAAGGTAAGGCACATACTATGCAAGTAAAATAAGAAACAGGAGGCAAATGCATGCCAGCTGCTCTAAAACAGAGTTTCTCAACCTCAGCACTAATGACATTTTGGATCAAAGAATTCCTTATCATGTAGGACCATCCTGTGCATCATAAATATGTAACAGCATCCCTGGCCTCTACCTGCTAGATGCCAGTAACAACTCCCCCACCCACCCCCCAGTTGTGACGATCAAAAATGTCAGAGGCAAATGTGGAGAGGGTGAATAGACGAGCATGACTGCCTGAAAGAGTTCACTTAAAGAAGTGGTAGACTATAGAGAACACGTGGGCTGGGCAGTGGGGAGCTTGACGGGCAGAGCTGTGAAGGACCAGGGCTCAGCACCTGAGAAGCGGTGCTTGTTGGTACCTGTGAATGAAGCTTGTTAGACCTGCTAGGAAGTTTGTGAGTAAGGTCAACACAGTCCTTCAGCAGTCTTAAACCATTTCTTTTCCCCGTTTTTGCCTCATTGTAGGGGATCAGACAACACCATCTTCTTTACCACCTATGCAAATGGCTCCTGCAGTAAGTATATTTTAGTCCCAGAAAATAGTGTCCTGTTGTCCATTCGTGGTAGAATTTTCTAGATTGTGCAAGGTAGAAACATAAAAGATCCTTCTATTCTCCTGAAATTGTAATAGCTAAAGAAAGCTGTTAGTGATTATTAAAATCTTAAAAATAAAACCAAATTACTACACTATCCAGATCAAGTAAAAATATAGGCTATACGTAGAGGCAATATTTAATCTTAGCCATGTATTTATGTAAAGCAAATATTATGCTACAGACAACAGCAAATTGAAATGCATAGTTATTTCTACAGGAAAGCATGGGTTGTGTTTGTGTTTGCTTGTAGAAGCAACTGGCTTCCCAAATGATGACACAATTTCAAAACAGAAAGCAAAATCTTTCATTTACTCGTATTTCAACAGATATTTGAGCACCTGCTCATATGCTAAACACTATTCTAAGGATGGAGAGAATGAAACACCCAAGGCCTGCCCTCATGGAATGTAAATTCAAGTAGGGGTGTTGGATGATAAACAAGAAAACCAAAACTCAAGCTGGGCATGATGGTTGCGTGCCTGTAGTCCCAGCTACTTGGGAGGCTGAGCCAGCAGGCTTGCTTGAGCCCAGAAGTTCAAGGACAGCTTGGGCAATGTGGCAAGACCGCCAGCTCTTAAAAGAAAAGAAAACTCAAGACAATTTAAAATAGGATAAGATAATTCTAAACTGTGCCATGAAGAAAGTAAAGCAGCATGCTGTGGCTTTGATGTTTTCATGAAACACTGTATTGGAATTAAGTAATCTCTTACCTTTCCATCGAGCATAAAATCTGAAATGTATAAAATAAAACACAAATATGAATTTCCTAAATCTAATGCTGTATCACATTTTATGTTGTCACTTGATTAACATGCATAGTATTTAAAATGCTTTAGCTATAAAATTAAGACTGATTCTAAAACAACTGCTTTGAACTAGGCTCACCAATAAGTGAAATTTTAATTAATATTTTGTCTTGTTTAAGAAGCTGACCTTGGGGCTCTGGAATTATGGAGAACTTCAGACTTGGGAAAAAGCTTCAAAACTATTGGCGTGAAAATCTACTCATTTGGTCTTGGGGGACGTTTCCTTTTTGCCTCTGTGATGGCTGATAAGGTAGGTATTGCCCTGTTCCCTTTGGGGTCTGATATTTCTGCAAATATCTCTCCTGTAGATTCTCTTTATTACTTGGCACTGACAGAGTTTCTTGTCTTTGTACTATATTTAGTGCCACTGTAAGTGTTAGGGGTGATTCTTTTTGCAGAGGCTGATTGAATCTGATAGGCTACTCTGCACTTTGGCCTTCTGTCACCACGTGAATTCTGGTATCTTTTCTGGGAATTTTTTTTTTTTTTTTTTTTTTCTTCTTGAAGCAGAGTCTTGCCCTGTTGCCCAGACTGGAGTGCAGTGATGCGATCTCGGCTCACTGCAACCTCCGCCTCCCAGATTAAAGCAATTCACCTGCCTCAACCTCCCAAGTAAGCGGGACTAAAGGTGTGCGCCACCACACCGGGATAATTTTTGTATTTTTAGTAGAGATGGGATTTCACCATGTTGGCCAGGCTGGTCTTGAACTCCTGAGCTCAGGTGATTCCCCCTGCCTTGGCCTCCCAAAGTGCTGGGATTATAGGCGTGAGTCACCACGCCTGGCCAGGATATTTTGATCCAGGGTTTGGGCATTACTCAGACATGGACATCTGTAGAAAGCAATCTCTTGCTCATTATCCAAAAATAAAGATACAATTAGATAACATTAATTTATTGAGTGCCTGCTATATGCTAGGTACTATTCTAAGTCCCAGGAATATGGCAGTGAACAAAACAGATAAATTTCCTGCTCTCAGAACTTATATTTAAGGGGGAAAATAAATACTCAAAAAATAAATATGAAGGCTAGGGGTGGTGGCTCATGCCTGTAATCTCAGGACTTTGGGAGGCTGAGGCAGGTGGATCCCTTGAGGCCAGGAGTTCAAGACCAGCCTGGGCAACATGACAAAACCCTGTCTCTACAAAATATAGGAAAATTAGCCGGGAATGGTGGCGTGTGCCTGTAGTCTCAGCTACTTGGGAGGCTGAGGCGGGAGGATCGCCTGAGCCTGGGGAGGTTGAGGCTGCAGTGAGCTGTGATCATGCCACTGCACTCCAGCCTGGGTGACAGTGCAAGACCCTGTCTCATAAATGAATATGAGTGTGTGTGTGTGTGTGTGTGTGTGTATCAGGTAATTAAAGCCGTGAAGAAATCTAAAACAGTAAGAAAACAAAGTGTCAAGAGTCAGTGCTCTTTTAGATAGGGTGTTTAGGATGGGCTCTCTGAGACCTAAGTAAAACAAGGACATGACCATGTGGCCATCTCGGAGGAGAGTAGGATGAGGCACAGCCAATGCGGAGACCCTCAGGCTGGAGCATGCCCAGTCAATCCAAGCAAAGGGGAGAAGGGCAGTATGGAGGAAGCACGGAAAATAACAGTCCAAAGTGGGGCCAGAGGGGGCCTGACCAGACCTTATGCAGCCTTCGCAGGTCACAATTAGGATGTGGGCCTTACTCTTCCTGTGTTGGGAACTATGAGAGGGTTGTGAGCAGGGGAATGCTGGGGTTTGTCTTCTCTTTTGAAGAATAGGTGTGAGCAGAACAGCCTGATGGGCATGCGTGGAAGCAGCAGGAGTGCTGGGAGCTCTCTCAGGAGTCTAAGCTGGGGAGGTGGTAGCTTGGCCAGGCTCTTGGCAGTGGGTGAGAGGGCAGGTGGTGAGACTGTGGATATATTTTTAAACATATTGCTAATAGGACTTGCTGATGGATTTGATGTGGGTTGTGAGAGAATGAGCAGAATTAAGGGTACCTTTAAGAGTTTTTATCCTGAGCACCTGAGTGGTGGTGCCATTTTCTAGGATGGCAAAGACTGCAGGAGGAGCAGGTTGTGGGAGAAAAATCAAGAATTCAGTTTTGGGCCAGGCACCGTGGCTCATGCCTGTAATCCCAGCCCTTTAGGAGGCCAAGGCGGGCAGATCACTTGAAGTCAGGAGTTTGAGAGCAGCCTGGCCAACATGGTGAAACCCTGTCTCTACTGAAAAATACAAAAAACTAGCCAGGTGTGGTGGCGCGTGCCTGTAATCCCAGGTACTTGGGAGGCTGAGGCATAAGAATCACTTGAACTCTGGAGGCAGAGGTTGCAGTGAGCCAAGATCATGCCACTGCACTCCAGCCTGGGCAACAGAGTGAGACTCTGTCTCAAAAAAACTAAAAAAGCATTCAGTTCTGCATATGAGACACCTATTAGATATCTGAATGCAGATGTCAAGTGAGCATCTGGGTATATGAATCTCCCTAATTGCTATGATATTTGAAGCCATGTGACTAGATGATATCTTCTGGAGGAGTAAGTAGGTAACAAAGAGGTGAGAGGACTGAGCAAGCCCTGAAGCACCCACAACAGAAAGTTAGAAAGAGAAGAATCCAGCAGAGAAGACTGAAAGGGAGGAGCAAGGGAGGGGAAGGGAAATCAGGACCATTGCGTTAGGTACATTCTGAGAACAATCCACTGGAGTTGGCGAAGTGGAGGTTGTTAGTGACTTTCACAAAAGCACTTCATTGGAAGTTTAAAGGCTGATTGGAGTGACTTCAGTGAGAACTAGAGATGAAGAAGTAGGCAATAAGTACAGATAACTCTCCCGAGCCATTTTGTAATATCCTCCCAACAACCCTGTGAGCTAATAGTATTATCTCAGTTTTATAGGTGAGGAAATTGAGTAACTTACCTAGGGTCAACAATAGTGGAATTCTGCTGGAAATCAGACTCAAATTCCAGAGGTAGCCTCCTGTGCTGTACTGCATATATGGTATAATTCTGTCTACAGAATTAAAATTTTGCGATGTACTTTTGAACTCTGGTTTCTACCTACAGCAATGAGAATAAGATTCAACGTAATGAGACATCTTGGTATAAGTTGAATAAGTTAAATGTACTTATCACTGAACTTTAAAGAGTATTTAACCTAAGGAAACACTGACATTAATTCTTATGCCCAGGCTAACTGTATCTAGTAGCGATGTTAAGCTATTTATCAGAGAGTTAAGTTTTAATTGCTTTCTTAACAGACTCCTTTCGCCAGCCAAATACTCCCTGATCAGTTTCCTTATAGTAATTTCTGACTCTCCTTGGCCTCTTTCCAGCCCATGCCTGTTCCTTCATCCTGGCTATTCTGAGAGACTTCCTTAGAGAGAAGGCGTGTTACATCTTGACTTCCCTTGTGATCTCCCAAATATGGGTTTCATCTCTATTTTCTAGACCCTTAATTATATAATTCTTTGAATTATGCAAGGACTATATGAAAGGGACCAAACTTTTATGAAGTAGTCATCATTTTAAGAATTATCCGGCCAGGCGCTGTGGCTCACGCCTGTAATCCCCGCACTTTGGAAGGCCTTTGGAAGGCCGAGGCAGGCAGATCACGAGATCAGGAGATCGAGACCATCCTGGCTAACACGGTGAAACCCAGTCTCTACTAAAAATACAAAAAATTAGCCGGGCGTGGTGTCAGGCACCTGTAGTCCCAGCTACTCGGGAGGCTGAGGCAGGAGAATGGCATGAACCCGGGAAGCAGAGCTTGCAGTGAGGCGAGATCGCGCCACTGCACTCCAGCCTGGGCGATAGAGCAAGACTCCGTCTCAAAAAAAAAAAAAAAGAAAAAAAATGAATTATCTGAGTGAGTGTATGCAAATGGCTATAAAGCCAACCTAAAGATGTTCCCATCAAATCCTTAGCTCTACTGAAGGAGATGGACTATCAGAGACAAAGACTATACTGTCTTACAGGGCCTCATCAGAATGAAGAATTCAAAGAGAAAGCCAAGATAGCCTTACTTAAAATAGAATGGATTGTTCCTTTACCTAGAACTTTGCTAGAGGCTAGAAATTGCTTTGGTAATTGGTACTATGACCTTTCATTCATAGCAATTGTACCCAGTGGAGAAATGGATTAAAACATTCTTGTTCATGTCCCTGCACATGGCATCTTGGCTGAAAATTAGGAAGATAAATACTGACATCTGTTCTAGGATACAACAAGAAGGATCCACGTTTCAACAGATCAAGGGGACACGTGGAGCATGGCCCAGCTCCCCTCTGTGGGACAGGAACAATTCTATTCTATTCTGGCAGCAAATGATGACATGGTATTCATGCATGTAGATGAACCTGGAGGTAAGAGCTTTTTAGTGGCTTACCCTTAAAAGCATAGAGATGTAAGCTTTGAGCAGCTTTTCTTTTTACATGTCGAGTTTCCTCTTACCCCTAGAAATTTATTAGTGCCTTACTGATTATTCTGTCCTAGAGATAATCTGTAGCCCCTGTTAAAAATGCCACTTGTTTTCGTACTCTAAGGTAGCTTGTGTGTATGTTTAGGTGTTCTAGAGCAGAGCTGCTCAAAGAATGGTCAGCAGACTGGTACTGATTTACAAACTCTCTGTTACCAGGTAAGTACAGAAATTGAGAGCAAGAGTTTGGAAACTTCTAGCCTTTCAACAACGCAATTTTATGTCTGTTGGATCTAATGATAAAAAAATTAGGGGCTTATGGCTGGGTGTGGTGGCTCACGCCTGTAATCCCAGAATTTTGGGAGGCTGAGGCATGCAGATCGCGAGTCAGGAGATTGAGACCATTCTGGCTAACACGGTGAAACCCCATCTCTACTTAAAAAAAATACCAGAAATTAGCCGGGAATGGTGGTGGGCTCCTGTAGTCCCAACTACTCAGGAGGCTGAGGCGGGAGGGGAGAATGGCGTGAACCCGGGAGGCCAAGGTTGCAGTGAGCGGAGATCGTGCCACTGCACTCCAGCCTGGGCAACAGAGTGAGACTCTGTCTCAAAAAAAGAAAATTGGGAGCTCATATCTACTGATTAGTTTTTATTATGTTTTACAAAAGCATCAGTTTGTGACATATTGGAAATCTTACAAATTGATCCTTCACTACAGATAGTTTGAGAAGCATTGTTCTAGAGTGTAAAGATTTAAAAAGTGTAAACTAAACACACAGCCTCTCCCACCAAAATATATCTGGGAAGAGTTTTTCTGTAGCATCTGATTAATTTATTCAACAAACTCAGCATCTGCCATATTCCAGGCACTAAGCTGGGTACTAGAATTAAAGATGGGCATAAAAATCTTGAGTATCAAACCTGGATTAATTCTCAGGTCTGAGTCTTCATCGTGAAGAGACAGTTGGCTACTGTGTTTGGTCAGGCAGACAATCGTGTGTGGTTAGACTATTGTTTTTCTCTTTGGTTCCACCCAAGACTTAGTATTTTTGTTTGTTTGCCTATTTCAGACACTGGGTTTGGCACAATCTTTACCTCAGATGATCGAGGCATTGTCTATTCCAAGTCTTTGGACCGACATCTCTACACTACCACAGGCGGAGAGACAGACTTTACCAATGTGACCTCCCTCCGCGGCGTCTACATAACAAGTGTGCTCTCTGAAGGTGAGTCTCAGCATCGCGGTGGTGCGCCGTGCCTTCAGTTGCATGTAGTAGGACTTGAGGCTTCGGGGAACCTGTCCTCTAGGAGTGTTGCTTGCCAAGCCAACAAGCCTACCCATGTACATTTTTTTGTTTCCTTTTTTTTATTGTGGCAACATACGTATAACAAAATTTGCAGTTTTTAACATTGTATAGGATACAGTTCAGTAGCATTAAGCACAGTCACAATGTTGTACAACCATCACCCCTATTTCCAGAGCTTTTTCATCATCCCAAATAGAAATTGCACCGGGTGCACAACTACTCCTCGTCCCCACCCAGTCGTCCAGCTCTGGTAACCAACATTCTATTTTATGTCTCAATGAATTTGCCTATTCTAGGTAGCTCATGTAAGCAGAATCATACACTATTGGTTGTATGTCTGGCTTCTTTCACTTTGCATATTGTGTCAAAGTTCAGCCATATTGCAGCATGTTTTAGAATTTCACTTATTGCTTTTTAAGGCTAGAATAGATATATTCCTTTCTTTGAATATAGCACCTTTTTGTTTTTGTTTTTGTTTTTGTTTTTGTTTTGTGGAGATGGAGTCTTGCTCTATTGCCCAGACCAGAATGCAGTGGCGTGATCTCAGCTCATTGCAACCTCAGTCTCCCAAGTTCAAGCAATTATCATGCCTCAGCCTCCCGAGTAGCTGGGATTACAGGTGTGTGCCACCACACCCAGCTAATTGTTGTATTTTTAGTAGAGATGGGGTTTCACCATGTTAGCCAGGCTGGTCTCGAACTCCTGACCTCAGGTGATCTGCCCGCCTTGGCCTCCCAAAGTGCTGGGATTCCAGGCATGAACCACTAAGCCCAGCCTATTTTTCATTCCTCCATTGATGGACACGTAGGCTATTTCCATTTTCAGCTCTTATGAATACTGAATGCTGCCATGAACATTGTTATACATGTAACTGTTTAAGTCAGTGCTTTCAATTCCTTTGGGGATATATGTAGGAGTGAAATAGCAAGATCACATGATAATTCCATGTTTCTCTTCCGGAGGAAATACCAATGGGTTTTCCATGTGGTTGTACCATTTTACATGCAATACAAAAGTATTCCAATTTCTCTACTTCATTGCAAACATTATATTCTGTTATTTTTGTAAAAGCAATCCTAATGGGAGTGAAGTAGTATCTCGTTTATAGTTTCTATTTGCATTTCTCTAATGACTAATGATGTTGAACAACTTTTTATGTGCTTGTTGGCCGTGTGAGTATCTTCTTTGAAGAAGCTTCTGTTTGAGTCCTATGAATGGCAGTGATTTTTAAAGTTGTGTTCACTGATGCTTCTCTGGTGCTTATGACAATTTTGGCACATAGTAGATGTTCAGTAATACTTGCTGAATGAGCCTATGAATAAACGACTGGACAGACTTGCACTCAAAACCATACAATGAACACACTTTAAAAGCATTTCAGACTGAGCCTGAAGTATGATAGGCAGGAATGGGGAGGGAAGGGCATTTTCAGCTGAAGGAGCTACACATGCAAAGTATCAGAGTCGCAGGAGGGTTTGGCCTGGTGGTGGTGGTGAGACATTGGGTGATGCCGGGGGAGGAGGGATCAGGAGGAGAGTCTAGCAGGGACAGACCAAGCCCATGCAAATTCTGGCTCCCTGTTTTAAATAAGTTATGGTAAATAGAACTAGGAGTGAGAAGAGCAATGGCAAGTAGAAAAGAAGATGTTTTGAGTCTGTGTTGCTTAGGTTATAAAATGAGTCTTCTGTATTGGGAGATGTAGGCCTATGAGAATAAGCCTGAATTTGACCCACTTCCTGCTCTTCCTCTTGTTAAGGGTGCATAGCGATAGCCAACCAGGGTTCTTCTTGTGTTCTACTCATTGGCTCTACAGAGCTCACCTTTCCTTAGGCCAGTTATGCAAATAAACACATTAGTCTCAAGTACAAAGACTCTTAAAGTGTCATTTTATTTATGTATTTATTTTTCGGTAGGAGATAGGGGCTGTTTTTATTTTGTAAAGTCCTGGCAGTGGCCTACAAGGTCCTGGAGATGTGGCTCCTGGTTTCCTCCCTGACTCACCTCCAGCTCTTCTCTTTCCATCTGCCCTACTGTCATCACACTGTCCACCTGCCAGTTCTTAACACACCAGGTACACATGCACATGCACGAATTAGAGTTTGCACAGACAGTTCCCTCTGTTTCTCCAGGTACCTGCAAGGCTGATATGTCTGTACTTATGTATTACTTTTTGAATGAGACCTTCCCTGACTATCCTATTTTAAATTCGTTTGCCCTCCCCTCCTCACACACACACTATCAATCCACCTTTAGCTGCGCAAGTATTTTCCATAGTGCTTATTTTCTAGCATACTACATAATTTACTTATTTACTATGTCTGGTGCTTGTCTGGCCCTACTGGAATGTATTTTTCACAATATCTTTTTTGTCTATTTTGTTCACTGATATATTCCCAAAGGCTTACAAAAGTTTTCACACTGGGCACAGTGGCTCATGCCTGTAATCCTAGCACTTTGGGAGACCAAAGTGAGTGGATCACTTGAGGTCAGGAATTTGAGACCAGCCTGGCCAATATGGTGAAACCCCACCTGTACTAAAAATACAAATTAGCCAGGCCTGGTGGCACGCACCTGTAGATAGATAGATAGATAGATAGATAGATAGATAGATAGATAGATAGATAGATAGATAAATAAATAAAAATAAAGGAAAACTCAAAGGATATTATCTCTGAATTTAAAACCTGCAACAGTTTATATCATTGAAAATAAGAATGGGGAAGAGACAAGGGAAAAAAGAAAGGTATAAGAAAAATAGGATATGGAGTAGTAGAGAGACAATAATTCAGAGTTATTAACCTGGAACTATGCGCACTTATTGAATCTCAAGAGTCCCTGAAACAAGCCTAGTGTCATGGCCTTGTCTGAATAAATGTTAGGATGCCTTCCTATGGTAGACTTTACTTCCCAGGCAAGCAAACAGGGAAGGAGAATGGACATCAGCCTGTTCATGTTGGTAAGGAGTTAAAAGGTATCTTTTTCAGAATATCAGTCCTAGATAATTTGTGGAATTAGTTGGGTCCTGTTCAGGTGGGACACCTTCTTCAAATATGTTTTTTTTTATTTTTTTGAAACAGAGTTTCACTCTCGTTGCTCAGGCTGGAGTGCAATGGCGTGATTTTGGCTCCCTACAACCTCCACCTCCCGGGTTCAAGTGATTCTCCTGTCCCAGCCTCCCGAGTAGTTGGGATTACAGGCCCCCGCCACCATGCCTGGCTAACTTTTTATATTTTTGGTAGAGTCGGGGTTTCACCATGTTGGCCAGGCTGATCTCAAACTCCGGACCTCAGGTGATCCCAAAGTGCTGGGATTACAGGTGTGAGCCAGTGCACCTGGCCTCAAATATCATATTTAAAGTGCTGCTTCATTACTCACCAACAATGAGCTGTTTTGTGAGGTATTACAAGCTTGTCGGACTCCAGGGGCTGTACGGTCTCAGGAGAGAGTTATGCAATGATAAACTGAACCTAATTAGGTACTTCCAGTGTATCAGGCTTAATGTCGTTCTCTTCCCATTCAGATAATTCTATCCAGACCATGATCACTTTTGACCAAGGAGGAAGGTGGAAGCACCTGAGGAAGCCTGAAAACAGTGAATGTGATGCTACAGCAAAAAACAAGAATGAGGTTTGTTTACTCTAATGTGTGCAGAGCACAGCAGCCTTTCCGTTTTGCTCTGATCCGTGCCAGGCTTTTGGATGATGAAGTTTCATACTTGATTAGGGTCCTCAGAATAAGATGGAAAGTTTGAGATGAGAGTAATGAAATTAACTTAGAATTTGGGAAGTAAGAACTGAGGAAAGGTCAAAATACTATGGATTATTTGTCTTTTAAAGAACAAAACTGAGGGCTAACAATTTGTGGTTTGCTAAACTGCTGAATTAAAACAATGGCCAGAGGGGCTGGTAATTAGTTAGGGCTCAACATGGCAGCTGGGAGACTTTAGAGATTCTGCAAGAAGCCACAGCTCCGCCACTCATAAGCAGTACACAGTCTTGCTCATTGGAAAGAAGAGGAAGAGGATCTGGCCTTCTTTTCCCTCTCCCTAGGCTCCCATGGCCAGTGGGTGGTGACCTGCTTAGTGCACAGGGACGCAAGGCAGGCCTCCTTGCAGAGAGATTGGGAACCGGAACTACACACGTGTCACTCCAGGAGATTCAAAGCCAGGAGTGACAGGCAGACAAGGAAAAAGGGGGAAAAAAAAGTTTTTATCTGACTTTCACAGAATGAGAGCTTGGGGGACAGCTGGAGTTTCCTTCAGAAATTCAAGTACCAGTAGTTCCCAAACCCTCCTTAGTATCCCTGTCACTGACATACACTTTGCTTTTCTAAGTGGGGTTTTCTGTTTTAAGAGCCTTAAATGGTGAGAGAAAGTGTGCCTGCCTACACCGCCTCAACACACTCTCCTCCTTTACACTCGCAAGCACTGTTGCATCTACCCGACCTTCTGACCCCTGTTTCCCATCTGTCTGCCTTGGCCCTGCCCAGCCACTGCCCTCCTCACCTTAAGCCTGGGCAGGTTCAGTGGCCTGTGTGTTTGCCTTGCTGCCTGCAGGCTCCCCATGCCTCTCCCTGCCCAGCGCTCATTGTGGCTCTCGGCCTATCAATGGCCTCTGTCCCTGACCTGGTGAGTGAAGGTTCTCTCCTGGTGGGCCCTCTGCCGCCTTTTCATTGTCATTGCTCACCTTATCCCTGACACACCCTTGTAACCCCCTGCCATTCCCTGAACACCCACACTATTCCTGGGGGAAGTTGGGCCTGTCTCTCCCAACCCCAGTTGACTAGGATTAGTGGAAATCCTAACCACCCTCGGTGACCATACGGTTAGAAATAATCATTCCTCTTCATTTCATTAATAGTTTGCTTGAACCTCTCCTTTTTTAAAACATAGTAAAATATACATAATATAATATTTATTATCATTTTAGCCATTTTGAACCTTTTTTAGAGCACTAACTTTCAGCTGCATACCTCAACTAGTTTCTGACAATACACTTCTTTTTTCCCCAGCTTTCTGGAGGCATAATTGACAAATAAAAATTGTATATATATTTACAATGTACACTGTGATGTTTTGATATATGTATACATTGTGAAATGATTACCACAGTCAAGCTAACTAACATGCATCACCTCAGAATTATCTTTTGTGTGTGTGGTGAGAACACTTAGGATCTATTCTCTTAGCAAACTTCAAGTAACAATACAGTATTCTAGACTATAGTCACCATGTATATTTTCCCTCTAAAGCTTATTCATCCTGAATAACTGAAACTGTATACCCTTTGGCCTTCATCACCCCATACCCCAAGCCCCCGAAAGCTACCATTCTGCTCCCTGCTTCTGTGAGCTTGACATTTTTACATTCCACTTATAAGTGAGATCATGCAGTATTTGTCTTTCTGTGCTGGGCTTATTTTACTTAACGTAATGCCTCCCAGGTTCACCATGTTTTCAACAGATGACAGGATTTCCTTCTTTTTTAAGGCTGAATAATATTCCATTTTCTTTATCCATTTATCCATCAGTGGACACTTAGGTTGATTCTGTGTCTTGGCTATTGTGAATAATACTGCAGTGGGCATGGGAGTGCAGATATCTTTTGGACATACTGATTTTGTTTCTCTTGAATATGTACCCAGAAATGGGATTGCTGGTAATTCTGTCCTTCATTTTGTTTTTTGTTTTTTTTTCCCCTTAAGATAGAGTCTTTTCCTGTCACTGAGGCTGGAGTGCAATGGCATGATCTTGGCTCACTTCAACCTCCGCCTCCCGGGTTCAGGTGATTCTCCTACCTCAGCGTCCCGAGTGACAGATTACAGACGTGTGCCACCATGCCCAGCTAATTTTTTGTATCTTTAGTAGAGATGGGGTTTCACCATGTTGGCCAGGCTGGTCTCGAACTCCTGACCTCGTGATCCACCTGCCTCCACCTCCCAAAGTACTGGGATTACAGGCTTGAACCACCATGCCCAGCCCTGCTGTTATTCATTTTCTAGGAAAATTTCTTACTGTATTGCATAGTGGCTGTACCAGTTTACATTCCCACCAACAATGTACAGGGTTCCCTTTTTTCCATGTCCTTGCCAATACTTACCTTTTATCTCTTTAATAATAGCCATTCTAACTGGGGGGAGATAATATCTCATTGTGGTTTTTATTTGTATTTCCCTTACCATTAGTGATGTTGGGCATTTTTTCATATACCTGTTAGCCATTTAAATGTCTTCTTTTGATAAATGGCTATACGGGTCCTTTGCCCATTTTTTAGTTGGATTATTTGTTTTCTTGCTACTGATTTGTTTGGATATTAACCCCTTATAAGATGTATGGTTTGCAAATATTTTCTTCCATTCTGTGTATTGTCTCTCTTCTGTCTTTTGGTGGTTTCCTTTGCTCTGCAGAAGCTTTTTAGTTTGATGCAGTCTCATTTGTCTGTTTTTGTTTTTTGTTGCCTGTGCTTTTAGGGTCATATCCAAAAAGCCATTGCCCAGATGAATGTCAAGCTTTTTTCCCTATATATCCTTCTAGTAGTTTTACAGTTTCAAGTCTTACATTTATGTCTCTAATCCATTTTGAGTTGATTTTTTACATGACATGAAATAAGGATTGAGGCCAGGTGTGGTGGCTCACGCCTGTAATCCCAACACTTTGGGAGTCCAGGACAGGCGGATCATGAGGTCAAGAGATCAAGACCATCCTGGCCAACATGGTGAAATCCCGTCTCTACTAAAAATACAAAAATTAGCTGGGTGTGGTGGTGTGCGCCTGTAGCCCCAGCTACTGGGGAGACTGAGGCAGGAGACTTGCTTGAACCTGGGAGGCGGAGGTTGCAGTGAGCCGAGACTGCACCACTGCACTCCAGCCTGGCGACAGAGCAAGACTCCATCTCAAAAAAAAAAAAAAAAGAAAGAAAGAAAAGGGTTGAAATTCATTCTTCTGCATATATTCAGTTTTCCCAGCACCATTTATTTAAGAGGCTGTCTTTTTCACATTGTATGTTCTTGACACCTTTGTCAAAGGTAAGTCTACAATAAATGCATAGATTTATTTCTGTGCTCTCTATTCTGTTCCATTGGTCTATATGTGTTTTTAATGCCAGTACCATGCTGTTTTGATTACTATAACTCTATAGTATATTTTGAAATTAGGTAGCATGATACCCCCAGCTTTGTTCTTTTTGCTCGCAATTACTTTGGTTATTCAGGGTCTTTTGTGGTTCCATATAAATTTTAGGATTTTTTCTATTTCTGTGAAAAATACCATTGGAATTTTTTTTTAAGAGGCAGAGTCTTACTCTGTCACCCTGGCTGGGGTCCAGTGGAATAATCATAGCTCACTGCAGCCTCAAATTCCTGAGCTCACACAATCCTCCCGCCTCCCAAGTAGCTAGGACTACAGGTGTATACCACCACACCTGTCTAACTTTGGTACTTTCTGGTAGAGATGGGGTTTCACCATGTTGCCCAAGCTAGTCTCGAACTCCTGGCCTCAAGTGATCCTACCACCTCAGCCTCTCAGCTGGGGTTACAGATGTGAGCCACCACAACTGGTTGTTTTGTTCTTGATGTACCTTAAGTACCTAAAACAGTGCCTGAAATATAGCAGGTACTCAGTAAACATCTGATGAATTAATTAATATGTATTTGGATTGTTCTGTGTTGTCACAGAAAGAGGGTTATTTATAACCATATAATAGTAAAAAAAAGTCAAAATAATAGGCATTACGTTTAACCTGTAGATCACTTTGGGTAGGATGGACATTTTAACAATATTAATTATTCCAATCCAGGAACATAGGATATTTTTCCTTTTTTTTTGGTCAAATTTCTTTCATCAATGTTTTGTAGTTTTTTAGTCTTTCACCTCCTTGGTTAAATTTGTCCCTAAGTTTCTTTTTTTTTTTTTTTTTTTTTTTTTTTTTTTTTAAGTTTTTTTCTTTTGCTACTATAGATGGAATTTTCTTGATTTCTTTTTTGGATAGTTTGTTGTTAGTGTATATTGTATTTTTATATGTTGATTTTATATTCTGTAACTTTTTTGAATTTGTTTATTTTAACAGATTTTTGGTAGAGTCTTTAAAGATTAAGGATTTTTATATATAAGCTCATGTCACCTGGAGACAGACAATTTTACCTCTTTCTGGTTTGGATGTTTTTATTTTTATTTCTTTTTCTTGCCTAATTACTCTGGCTAGGACTTCCATTACTATAATGAACAGAAGTGGTGAGAATGGGCATCTTTGTCTTATTCCTGATCTTGGAGGAAAAGGTTTAGCTTTTGAATGTTTGAGTATGATGTTAGCTGTGGGCTTGTCACATATAGCCTTTATTATGTTGAGGTATATCCCTTTTATACCTAATTTATTGAGAGCTTTTATCATGAAAGAGTGTTGAAATTTGTTAAGTGCTTTTTCTGGATCTATCAAGATGATATGATTTCTGTCCTTCATTCTGTTAATGTGGCATATCCCATTTATTGATTTGCATATGTTGAACCATCCTTGCATTCCACAGATACATCCTACTTGATCATGGTATATAATCTGTTTAACATGCTGTTGAATTCAGTTTGTTAGTATTTTGTTGAGGATTTTTGCATCTATGTTCATCAGAGATATTGATCTGTAATTTTGTTTTCTTCTAGCGTCCTTGTCTGGTTTTGGTAGCAGGGTAATACCACCCTTATAAAATGAGTTTGAAAGTGTTCCATTCTCTTCAATTTTTGGAATAGTTTGAGAAGGATCAGTCTTAATTTTTCTTTGAAGAATGTTTGCTAGAATTCACCATTGAATCCATCAGGTCCTAAGCTTTTCTTGTTGGGAGGTTTTTGATTACTGATTGAGCCTCCTTACTCTTATTAGTATGTTCAGATATTCTATTTCTTCTTCATGATACAGTCTTGGTAAGCTGTATGTGTCTAGAAATTCATCCATTTTTTCTAGATTATCCAATTTGTTGAAGTATAATTGTTCATAGTAGTCTCTTAGGATCCTTTGTTTTTTCTGTAGTATCAGTTGTAATGTCTCCTGTTACATTTCTGATTTTAGTTGAGTCTTCTCTTTTTTTTTATTCTAATTAAAAGTTTGTCACTTTTTATCTTGTCACAAAAAAAAAAAGACAAATCTAAGTTTCATTGATCTTTCATATTTTTTTCTAACTTATATTTCACTTATTTCTGCTCTGTTATTATTTCCTCCCTTCTGCTAACTTTGGGCTTAGTTTGTTCTTTTTCTATTTCCTTGAAGTATAAAGTTAAGATTTTTGAGATTTTTATTTTTTCTTAATGTGGACATGTATCACCAAAAACTTTCTTCTTAGAACTGCTTCTGCTGCATCCCTTAAGTTTTGGTATGTTGTGTTTCCCTTTTCATTTGTCTCAAGATATTTTTTGATTTCCCTTTTCTTTGACTCATTGGTTGTTCAAGAATATGTTGTTCAATTTCCACATTCATGTGAATTTTCCAATTTTCCTCCTTTTACTGATTTCTAGTTTCATTATGTCGTAGTTGAAAAGATACTTGAGGCCGGGCATGGTGGCTCACGCCTATAATCCCAGCACTTTGGGAGGCCAAGGTGGGTGGATCACAAGGTCAGGAGTTCAAGACCAGCCTGACCAACTTGGTCTCTACTGAAAATACAAAAAAATTAGCCAGGCGTGGCAGTGAGTGCCTGTAATCCCAGCTACTCAGGAATCTAAGGCAGAGCATTGCTTGAACCCAGGAGTCAGAGCTTGCAGCGAGCTGAGATCACACCACTACACTCCAGCCTGGGTGACAGAGTGAGACGCCGTCTCAAAAAAAAAAAAAAGAAAAGATACTTGAAGTGATTTCAGTCTTACATGTGTTAAGGTTTGTTTTGTGGCCTATCCTGGAGAATATTCTCTGTGCACTTGAGAAGAATGTGTATTCTGCTGCTGTTGGATTAAGTGTTCTGTATATGTCTGTTAGGTCCATTTGTATGGTGGTGTTCAAGTTTGCTCTTTCCTTACTGGTTTTCTGTCTGGATGATCCATCATTGAAAGTACAGTATTGAAGTCCCTTACTGTTATTGTATTGTTGTCTACCTCTTCCTTCAGTTTTGTTAATGTTTGCTTTATACATTTAGATGCTCTAATGTTGAGTGCATTTATATTTACCAATGTTATAGGCTCTTGATGAATTGACACCTTTATCATTGTGTGGTAACTTTCTTTATCCCTTGTGATAGTTTCTTACTTAATGTCTATTTTGTCTGATATAAATATAGCCACCCCTGGCTGGGCACAGTGGCTCACGCCTGTAATCCCAGCACTTTGGGAGACCAAGGCAGGCAGATCACAAGGTCAGGAGATCGAGACCATCCTCGCTAACATGGTGAAACCCCATCTCTACTAAAAATACAAAAAGTTAGCCAGGCGTGGTGGTGGGCGCCTATAGTCCCAGCTACTTGGGAGGCTGAGGCAGGAGAATGACGTGAACCCAGGAGGCGGAGCTTACAGTGAGCCGAGATCGCGCCACTGTACTCCACCCTGGGCAACAAAGTGAGACTCGGTCTCAAAAAAAAAATAATAAATAAATATAGCCTCCCCTGCTCTCTTTTGGCTACCATTTGTGTGGAATATCTTTTTTTGATCTCTACTTTCAGCCTATGTGTCCCCTTACACACATAGTCCTTTACAGATGGCTTCAGCAGGGGAATCTCTTACCAGGTAGCTCATCCAGAGATTCTTGCAGGGCAACTGACAGGTTCTGCAGGTAGGTGGGCCTGGTGCCTTGGGCTTTGGGAGTAGCTTAGAGGCTGGGTCCTCTGCAGCAGGCCTGGCAGTGGAATCCACTAGAGTGGACCTTGTAAGTGGGTCTTCAGGTGAAACACCTGGAGCCTCGTAAGTGGATCTGCAGGAGCCAACCTGGTGCAGGCTACCCTTAGCCTTCAGGGGCTGGCCTGATGCAGTGGTCCACTTGGCTGGGTCTGTGAGAGTGGGCGTGGAGCCTAAGACACCAGTTTCTTAAAGACAAGACTGGATCTTATTTCCAACTACCATCACATCTTGTACAGTGTCTGAAGTATATCAGGTGCTTATCAAGTTTATTTGTGTGGAGTCCGCCTTTAAACATTGGTCAGAGGCTTTGATGTAATGCAAAAATAAAATAAACTGAGGCAGGTTACCCATGAGGAAATAATTGTATATTTGCTTCCAGATATTGTAGTACATTTCAGAATCAAGAGTATGCCACTGAACTACAACTCAACAACAAACAAATAGCTTGAATAAAAAATAGGCAAAGAACTTAAATAGACATTTCTCCAAAAGCGATATAGAAGTGACTAACAAGCATATAAAAAGAGGCTCAGCATCACCAATCATTAGGAAAATGCAAGTCAAAACCCCAATGAGATATCTCCTCACACAGATTAGGGTGGCTACTATTTTTAAAAGTGTTGGCAAGGATATGGAGAAATTGGAGCCCTGGTGCACTTTTGGTAAAAATGTAAAATGGTGCAGCTGCTACAGAAAACAGCATAGTAGTTCCTTAAAAAAATTAAAAATAGGATTATCATATCCAGCAATTCCACTTCTGGGGTATACATCCAAAAGAATTGAAAGCAGGTTCTCAAAAAGATATTTGTACAACCATGTACATAGCAACATTATTCATGATAGCCAAAAGGTGGAAGCAACTTGTGTCTATTGACAGATAAATGAGTAAATAGAGTGTGGGGTGTGTGTGGATACACATACACACACACACAATTAAATAATATTTAGCCTTTAAAAGGGAGGAAATTCTGACATACGCTATTAATACAACATGGATGAGCCTTAAGGACATTATGCCAAGTGAAATAAGTCAGACATAAAATGAAAAATATTATATGATTCTACTTTTATGAGCTTCCTAGAGTAGCCAAATTCATAGAAAACACAAAGTAAAATGGTAGTTTCTGGGAGCTGGGAGGAGGAAGAAGTAGGGAACTGTTGCTTATTTGGTGACTGAATTTTATAAGATGAAAAGGTTTAGAGATGTGATTGTACAACAGTGTGAATATACTTAACACTACTGAACTATACACCTAAATAGTAAATAAAAGGTTAAGATGGTACATTTACCTAGGTCTGGGTTAACTTAAAGCTTTATTGGAAGGGCTCTGTGAAATGATTAAAGAAATTGTATCTTTGGTTCTAATCTAAGCTTTTGTTTCTTTTCACAGTGCAGCCTTCATATTCATGCTTCCTACAGCATCTCCCAGAAACTGAATGTTCCAATGGCCCCACTCTCAGAGCCGAATGCCGTGGGCATTGTCATTGCTCATGGTAAGAAACCTCCCACTCACCGCCTCCAACTGGAACAGTGGCTGAGCACACTGAAACTCAGCCGCAGGCTTTGAACGCTCTGAGAAAAAACACTGTGGATGCTTTTACATTCCTTTGGTAGAATTTCTTACATTACAACGACACTTTGGGTTTTTCAACTTTTATCAGAGAGAGCAACACAACTTCTCCCAAGTTTTTGGTGGTTTTCTTTCCTACTAAAAGAGACTTGATGGGAAATAATCAGAATAAATTCATTCAAAATTATTCTCTCTTGAGTAAATGCTCTCTGTGTTATTGCCTATTTGTGCTGATGAGATGGCGGATTATGTTGCAGGTAGCGTGGGGGACGCCATCTCAGTGATGGTTCCAGATGTGTACATCTCAGATGATGGTGGTTACTCCTGGACAAAGATGCTGGAAGGACCCCACTATTACACCATCCTGGATTCTGGAGGCATCATTGTGGCCATTGAGCACAGCAGCCGTCCTATCAATGTGATTAAGTATGCATGAACTCATCTCACACACATTGTCTGCATAGAGGGCAACTGGGGGGATGTTCTTCAGTTTATTGGGGGGATGTTACAGACTATAATTCAAATTTTTGCATTTGACAGAACTACAGATAAGATTCTAGAAAGGATTGCTTTTAAAATGGCGTTGTTTTTTCGTCTCACTGCCTCTAGCTAACATATTTGTCACTTCTTAAAAACATTCTTTCTGGGTTGGGCGCAGTGGCTCATGCCTTTAATCCCAGCACTTTGGGAGGCCAAAGCAGGAGGATCACTTGAGCCCAGGAGTTCAAGACCAGCCTGGGCAACATAGGGAGACCCTGTCTCTAATATTATTTCAATTAAAATATATATATATATATATATTCTTTCTGTCTACAAAATTATTATGGAAGTGTTCAAGCACTCTAGATTGAAAATGACTTCTTAAGTATAAGTTCTGAGCCGGGTATGGTGGCACACACCTGTAATCCCAGCACTTTGAGAGGCCAAGGTGGGTGGATCGCTTGAGCCAGGAGTTCAAGACTAGCCTGGGCAATGTGACAAACCGCTGTCTCCATAAAAAAAAGAAAAATTAGCTGGACGTGGTGGTGCATGCCTTTGGTTCCAGCTACTTGGGAGGCCGAGGTGGGAGGATCACCTGAGGAGGTCGAGGCCACAGTGAGCCGAGATCGTACCACTGCACTCCAGCCTGGGTGACAGAGTGAGATCCTGTCTCAAAGAAAAAAAGAAGTATAAGTTCTTATAAAATAATTTGATTGTTATTTATTTATTTATTCATTGAGATGGAGTTTTGCTGTTGTCACCCAAGCTGGAGTGCAGTGGTGCAATCTTGGCTCACTGCAACCTCCCGCCACCCAGGTTCAAGTGATTCTTGTGTCTCAGTCACCTGAGCAGCTGAGATTACAGGCATGCAGCACCACACCCAGCTAAATTTTGTGGGTTTTTTTTTTTGGTAGAGACGGGGTTTTGTCATGTTGGTCAGGCTATTCTTGAACTTCTGACCTCAGGTGATTCACCTGCCTCAGCCTCCCAAAATGCTGGGATTACAGGCGTGCACCACCACAGCCAGCCTTAAATTTATTAATTTAAAAGCCATTTCTTACCCGGGTCACTCTCCTGTCTTTCCTTTGAAATAATTTCTGCAAAGGTATTTACTTTCATACTCTCTCTGAACAAATCTCTTTTGCTTATCCTGTTAACTACAGACATTAAAAGTAAAAATAGTTGGCCGGGTGCAGTGGCTCAAGCCGATGATCTTGGGAGGCCAAGGCGGGAAGATTACCTGAGGTCAAGAGTTCGAGACCAGCCTGTGCAACATGTGAAACTCCATTTCTACTAAAAATACAAAAATTAGCTGGGTGTGGTGGCACGTGCCTGTAATCCCAGCTACTCGGGAGGCTAAGGCATGAGAATCGCTTGAACCCACGAGGCAGAGGTTGCAGTGAGCCGAGATCGTGCCACTGCACTCCAGCCTGGTGACAGAGTGACACTCCATCTCAGAAAAAAAAAAAAAAAAAGATTAAAATAGTTGTCAGCCAATAAGCCATCACCTAAATGTGTAAGGGGTTTTGTCTGGTTTGGGGTCAAAAAGCCAGAGTGGTTTTCTGAATTCCCAGTATACATGGATCCTCTGTCATGATCTTTCTCTAATCGTGGTTTCAGGTTCTCCACAGACGAAGGTCAGTGCTGGCAAACCTACACATTCACCAGGGACCCCATCTATTTCACTGGCCTAGCTTCAGAACCTGGAGCGAGGTCCATGAATATCAGCATTTGGGGCTTCACAGAATCTTTCCTGACCAGCCAGTGGGTCTCCTACACCATTGATTTTAAAGATATCCTTGAAAGGAACTGTGAGTGTCTCCTTTGACCTTTTCTACCAGCAACTTATAAGCCCATTTTCCTAAATAATCAATATGGTTTGATTTCTGTTAGCTGGAATCAGCAGATGTATATGCACATGAAAGAGGATTGACAGATGTTCTGTGCGGGTGATTAAGTAATGGAATGGCATCAGAAAAACAGCCTCCTCCTTGGTGCTAGCACTGTCCAGGAGAAATATGAGGGCCACATATGTCATTTAAACTATTCTGTCAGTTACATTATAAAAGTAAAAAGAAAGGTGATATTAATAAAATAAACTTAATATATACAAAATATTATTTCAACATTAAGCAATATTAAAGGCCCAGAAAATAGCTTCAGAAAAAGATTTATAATGTTCATTACACAGTGTTCCCAAAGTGTCACAAGCAAACCCTGATCTCAGTGCCAAACAAAGGTGCTGGCATTATACTAAGAAATAAGGGGAATGGCCGGGCGCAGTGGCTCATGCCTGTAATCCTAGCACTTTGGGAGGCCAAGATGGGCAGATCACGAGGTCAGGAGTTCGAGACCAGCCTGGCCAACAGGGCAAAACCCCGTCTCTACTAAAAATACAAAAATTAGCCAGGTGAGGTGGCGGGTGCCTATAATCCCAGCTAGTCGGGAGGCTGGGGCAGGAGAATCGTTTGAACCCGGGAGGAAGAGGTTGTAGTGAGCCAAGATTGTGCCATTGCACTCTAGCCTGGGTGACTCCATCTCAAAAAAAAAAAAAAAAGAAGAAGGGGGATAAAGGAAAACACTGGAAAAAGGATGACCTGTAGTTAAGTGTTAGTATGATACAATAAAAGACTTAACGTTTCCAGACACTTTAGTTGAATTTGGTTCTTTGAGACTGTCATGAGCTCATTTCCTCAGCGTGTTGATTTAGTGACTCCTGAGGGAGCAGACCCTTGGTTTGGACCTTACTTTTCCATAAGACGTTCAAATAGATTTAATGCCTGAGGGTCGCTGTCATTTAAATCCATTCAGTAGTCTGTACAGAAGCTGGCTTGGGAGTTCTCCCCTCAGCAGACAGTTTTCCAGTTACCCCTAAAGTTTAATGTCATTAAAAGATTTGTTAAGCACCTGCTCTTTAGCAGGCTCTATGCTGGTCTTCATTTCCCGAAGGATAAAACCTAATCCACTGTCTTTAGGTCACAGCCTTTGAGTCATTTTTCCAGTAGATGATACGACATACTAAGCCAGAAACTAGGTTTATCAGCAATCTGCATTTGAGAGCCGGTCAACTGGAGCTAGAAGTCTAGGAAAAGGATGTTTTCCCTTCTGCCTTAAGCCAATGAACACATGGTGAAATTGAACCTGTGCTCTTGGCTAATTAGTATCTTGTCCTAAACAAAGAGCTCCCTGGCCCTGAGTGGAAAATATCTGGTTGCTTACCTCTGACAGCTCCTTAACTGAGGGCGTAGGTGTGCAAGACACACAGACAGCAGCCTCTTAGTTTGGAAGGAACTTGAGAGATTTTCTATCCAGCTCCCACTTCAAAACAAGTAGGGTTTTTCCTAATCCTCAGATGGATGTTGAGATGGAAAGAATACTCTTTTGGCGTGAGGAAATGCAATTGCTAGTAGGCTCTAGACTAGTGTAGCTTTCTGTTTGCAATTCCAAAATGAAGGAATAGGTTGAGTCAGACATTCCCACTTTTCCTCTCCTTGTTCTTCCTATAGCCTGGCAGCTGCCTCCCGTGGGTGGGTTCTGTGCTGTGCACTTTCCTGAACAGTCTGTCTCTCATTTAGGTGAAGAGAAGGACTATACCATATGGCTGGCACACTCCACAGACCCTGAAGATTATGAAGATGGCTGCATTTTGGGCTATAAAGAACAGTTTCTGCGGCTACGCAAGTCATCCGTGTGTCAGAATGGTCGAGACTATGTTGTGACCAAGCAGCCCTCCATCTGCCTCTGTTCCCTGGAGGACTTTCTCTGGTATCGGCATTCCTCAGATTTCTCTATCTCCCCTTCCCTGTTGGAGGAGGTGAAAGACAGTTTTCTTATAGGCTAACAAATATTGAAATCCAGCCGGGCACCGTGGCTCACACCTGTAATCCCAGCACTTTGGGAGGTCGAGGCAGGTGGATCACTTCAGGCCAGGAGTTCGAGACCAGCCTGGCCAACATGGTGAAACTCTGTCTCTACAAAAAAAAAAAAAAATTAGCTGAGTGTGGTGGCACATGCCTGTAATCCCAGCTGCTCAGGTGGCTGAGACACAAGAATCACTTGAACTTGGGAGGCAGAGGTTGCAGTGAGCCAAGATCGCGCCATTGCACTCCAGCCGGGGTGACAGAGCGAGACTCTTGTCCCAAAAAAAATTGAAACCCTTTTCTCCAAGAGTGGAGAACTGCTGCTTCTTATCAAGGAAACTGAGGCACAGAGAAAGGAAACCAAAATTGTTAATAATTAGATAATATAATCATATTAGACAGTTAATGGGCAGAACCAGCAACGAACCCCAGAAATCCTGAGTTGACAGTGGTGGGAAGGAGAGAAGTGATGAAAGAAGAGAAGCCAGGCGCGGTGGCTCACACCTATAATCCCAGCACTGTGGGAGGCCGCAGCAGGCGGATCGTGAGGTCAAGAGATCGAGACCATCCTGGCTAACATGGTGAAACCCCATCTCTACTAAAAAATACAAAAAACTAGCCGGGCGTGGTGGGGGGCTCCTGTAGTCCCAGCTGCTTGGGAGACTGAGGCAGGAGAATGGCATGAACCCGGGAGGCAGAGCTTGCAGTGAGCCGAGATCACGCCACTGCACTCCAGCCTAGGGGACAGAGTGAGACTCTGTCTCAAAAAAAAAAAAAAAAGAGAATAAAACAAAAATCTGTAGGAAATAAAGACAAAAACACCAAAAGAAGTGGTAGAGGAGCAAAGAGGAAATTGGACTTTAGAAAATAGCCTGAGGCCAGGCACGGTGGCTCATGCCTGTAATCCCAGCACTTTGGGAGGCCAAGGAGGGTGGATTGCTTAAACTCAGGAGTTTGAGACCAGCTTGGGCAATATGACAAGACCCCGTCTCAAACGAAAACAAAGAGAAAGAAAACTCCCTGACAGTATGAGCTCGGCAGGCGGACACTAGGTTTTGGATCCTCTGCAAGAATCAAGGCAGAGAGATGGTGGTTGGTCCTGAGACTAGAGGTGACATCAGTATAGTCATGGTCCCATTAAGGTTTAGAGGCCATCAAAGTGGACTCCCTAGAGTTCAGGACCATCCAGACTTAAGGATTAGTTACTTGGCTGGCATCAGGTTAGTTGATTATATAAGGGCATGAGTCCCTGGATAGCTTAAATGAGGTAATTTTGGGGCAAATAAGAGGAACTGCTTCACATCACAGATGATGATCTTATGAAACTTGTTACCTGTAAAAGATACTGACACAAGATAAAAGTAGATCCTAAAGGATTTGGACAAAGAAGGGAGGCAGATAGCAGCCATGGCCCTGCATGTCATGTTCTCTCAAATCGCAGGTGACTGTAGAATATAGTTCCGACCAAAATGCAGGTCTGACCCAGTGTGGTTCCTCCTGCATGGCTCACACCTGTGTGTGGCATAATCAAGGGTCCTCCTCTGTTTCCGTAAGGATCACCTTTGGTGTTCCTGTAGGGTTGGAGGTCATTGATGAACCTGTAACACTCTAAAGGGTTCTCTCCTATCCTCGACTCCACATATGCCAGACTCTTCACCTGTGCTTCTGCTCTTCTTCAGCAATGCCGTGGTTCTTCAGACCTCCATGCCACTGCACATGATGCTTCCTCTGCCTGAAAAGTCTTTCCACAGTCCCTGCTTCATCCCCAAGTCTGGCGACTTCCCACTTAGCCTTTCATACTTAGCTCAGGTATCACCACTAGATGGGCTTTCCCTTATCTAGACCCCCAGAGTTCCCCTATTACAGCACTTACTGTGTTTTAACTACTATTTACAGGTTTGCTTCCACCATTAAGCCCCAAATTCCTTGGAAGCATATTCTATTCGATAATAATATAGTAATCATGATAGCAGCTAACATTTATTGAGCACTAACTCTATACTAGGCACTGTCCTAAGCAATTTACATTTAACCTCACAACAGAGAGGATATGACTGTCGTGCCAGTGGGAAGTGGCAGAGCTGGGATGTGAAACTGGCATCCCAACTCCAGAGCCCACGTGTTTGGGAAGTGGGTCCTTTATGAGTGAGAAGGATACTCACAAAAATCCAGAAATTTCTGATTGAATACCTAAAACTCTTACCCGAATTTCCTCCTGTTATTTGAAGGGTGATATCTTCAGCATATTTTGTTCTCCATACTCTCTTTCCTAAATACTTACCAGAAAAACCTTGAAATACAAGCAGCATCTATATATTCCCCAAATACTCATTGAATACCAGCTGTGTGCAGGCAATGAAAAGCAATAATGGAAAATTTGTTGCAAAACAGAAGGTGGCAAGTGCCATGGGGATTTAGAAAAGGAAGAGACTATTTCATGTAGAGCTGAAAGGAAGTGGGTCAACGAAGGCCTTGTTGAGGAGGTGGTATGAGAGCTGAGCATTGACAAACGGTAGGATTTGTCCATGAGCATCTGGGAAGAAGCAGGTCATCAATGCCAGTGGGCTACTGCAAGCAGAGACACCAACAGCATGATCAAGGAAGGGTGTTCTGGAAGATAGGCCATTGAGGAAGTCATAGTAGTCATGATAAAGAAGTAAGTAGGGTCCAGAAGGAGGATCCTCAGGCTAAATTTTCTACTGAGGGGAGGAAGGTAATGTCATGGACAAATATGGAAATGATAAGGAGAGTCTGTCACAAAGGAGAAAACGTGATGTATTTTGAACGTCTTATTTCTTTGAGGTTTTGTCAGCATATTTAGGTGGTAATATCCAGCATGTATTCGAAATACAGGATTAGAACTAAAGAGAGGTAAAACCTGGAAGTTTTAGTTGCAACCAAAAATAGTGATCACTAAGGGAGAGCAGGTAGAGAAAAAGTAAGAGAATGCATTATACCTCCCCCCGCCCCCGGCAGAAGACTACATTTATGGGTTAGGAAGAAAGAAGAGCAGGCAGTGGCAGGGGCAGCAGAGGGCAGAGAAACCGATGAGTGCAGCTTTGCCAGTGCCCAGGTGGGCACGGGCACAACAGTGTGTTCGATGCTGCAGAATGGGTGGTCTGGGGGAATGAGACCAGAGAGGGCTCCACTGAATTTGATGATTATTGAGCTTTGGGGACATTGCAAACACTTGTTTTCTTTTTTTTTTTCTTTTTTTTTTTTTTTTTTTTTTTTGAGATGGAGTCTCGTGCTGTCGCCCAGGCTGGAGTGCAGTGGCGTGTTCTCGGCTCACTGCAACCTCCTCCTCCCAGGTACAAGCAATTCTCCTGCCTCAGCCTCCCGAGTAACTTGAGATTACAGGCGCACACCACTGCACCCAGCTAATTTTTTGTATTTCTAGTAGAGACGGGGTTTCACCATGTTGGCCAGGCTGGTCTTGAACTCCTGATTTCAGGTAATCTGCCTGCCTCGGCCTCCCAAGTGCTAGGATTATAGGCATGAGCCACCGTACCTGGACCAGACACTTATTTTCAAAGTTGCAGAAGGGGTCGAAGCCAAAATGCATGGAAGAAAAAATAAATGAGTAAAATAGGACAAGTAAAGAAATACTCTTTCGAGAAATGTGGGTAGTAAGGGAGAAGTGGGTTAAGGAAGTAATTTCTAAGGTCAAGACATTCAGGCTAAGGAGACGCTGCCAGCTGAGTGGGAGAGATTGATTGTTCTCCTCATACTCAGGGAAGCAAGGCCCCAGGGCAGGTCGGAGGAGGGGAACCAAGGATGCTCATGGAGTCAGCCCTGGAGATTGTCAGCAGACGTTGTTTCTTTGGGGAAAGCAGGAAAAGGAGAGCAGTGGGTGGCACTCTGGAGAGGCAGGGTGGAATGGAGGACAGAAAAAGGTGTTCACATGGAAGGCAAAGACTATCTAAGAAGCTAAAGGAACAGAAGTGGGGAAGACAGAAAAATTTGCCGTGTGCCACAAGGGCAACATAATAATGACATTTGGAGGTAAAGAAAAGAATTACTGGCTGGGCACAGTGACTCATGCCTGTAATCGCAATACTTTGGGAGGCTGAGGCAGGTGGATCTCTTGAGCTCAGGGGTTTGAGATCAGGCTGGGCAATATGGCAAAACCCTGACTCTACAGAAAATACAAAAATTAGCCAGGCACAGTGGTTCACACCTGTAATGCCAGCACTTTGGGAGGCCGAGGCGGACCGATCACTTGAGCCCAGTAGTTCAAAACAAGCCTGAGCAATGTATCAAGACCTCATCTTCACAAAAAATTAGATGAGCATGGTGGTGTATGCATGTGGTTCCAGCTCCTTGGGAGGCTGAAGCGGAAAGATCACTTGAACCCAAGTGGTTGAAGCTACCGTGTTCATGCCGCTGTACTCTAGCCTGGGCAACAGAGCAAGACCGTGTCTCAAAAAAAAAAAAGCGGGGGGAAGAAAAGAAAAGAATTGCCAAGTATCCCTGAGTTGAGAGCTGCTGCTGATGCTGAGGTTTCTTTGTGAGTCCCACCCCTCTGCAGACTGCATTAGTCCCCTCCCTGCGCCTGAGCTGCCTGCAGTGCACAGCCTTGGGGCCCTTGCTAGTCCTACCCCACCAGGCCTGACCCATAAGCTTCTTTTCCTCAATAAAGCCCTCTCTGGCCAGGCACAGTGGCTCACGCCTGTAATCCCAGCTCTTTGGGAGGCCAAGGCGGGCATATCACAAGGTCAGGAGTTCGAGACCAGCCTGACCAACATGGTGAAACCCTATCTCTACTAAAAATTAAAAAATTAGCCAGGCATGGTGGCACACACCTGTAATCCCAGCTACTCAGAAGGCTGAGGCAGGAGAGTCACTTGAACCCGGGAGGCAGAGGTTGCAGTGAGCCAAGAACACACCACTACACTCCAGCCCAGGCAAGAGAGCAAGACTCCATCTCACAAAAAAAAAAAAAAAAAAAAAAAAGCCTTCTCCATATCTGTTTTCCTAAATCGACCTCCTTCAGAGGTGTCACAGGCCTTCCTGAGCTACTTTCTAACAACCCAAGACTGGAATGTTAACCATCCACTGCCCCACATAACCCTTCATTGCTAGTCACTTACTGTCTTCCAGCTGCTTTGAAAGGTACTTTATTTGCTGACTCTTGCAGTGATTTTGGCTACTACCGTCCAGAAAATGACTCCAAGTGTGTGGAGCAGCCAGAACTGAAGGGCCATGACCTGGAGTTTTGTCTGTACGGAAGAGAAGAACACCTAACAACAAATGGGTGAGGTGGCCTTTTCTCCCTTGTCATGATGGATGAGGTGTTCTTGTTCAGAGTGAAAGCTGCTTCTCTCCACACTGAGATCCAAGCCCTACTTTAGAGCACTATTTTTGGAGGGGTTGGGGAGGGGCAGGATGTGAAGGCCTCCCTCGAGGGTCAACTACGGGAGGTGAACCATGGGTGCTTGGTGTCAGAGGACTCAACCCTACCAACACCACGAGGCAGAGGGCAGGAGAACAAGCTCGGCCAGATCCTGCACCCCTGCCTCCCGCCCACCGCCCCCAAGAAGGGAGGAGAGGCGAGGGACCCCCCAGGCAGAACGATAGAAGCGTCCCATCCACCATGAACGTCCATCACTCGCCTGGCACAGTTTAGGCACGGCCAGGCAGAGCTCTGTCTGATAGGACTTTCTTTGGTGATGGAAGTGTTCTGTAATTTGCTGTGCCCAATATGATAGTCACTAGCCACACGTAGCTGTGGACACTAGTGTAACCGAGGAACTGAAATTTTCATTTTAATCAATTTTAATTTAAGTAGCCACCATATTGGACAGTGCTGCTCTAGAGGGGCCTCATTACCTCCCTCCCCTGATAATTTCCCTCTCCCATTTTGGACCACTTGTTAATGACCTTTTTCCAGGTCACATTTCTTTGGCACAGTCTCTTAGGTAGAAAGAACAGGCATGTTTCTGACAGCAGGGGACTGAGATGCTTAGTTTGCTTAAGAGGCCTAAAACTACACAAAATATCCCCCAAAACATCCCTGTGGACATCCCCCCAGACCTGAAAGATGATGTAAGGATGGGAAGCTTTTTGGCAGCTTTTCAAATCTTGTTTCCAAGAAATAGGCAGGGACCCAGGAATATATCCTTATCTTCTGTTACCAAATAATCTTCTCTGCCTGGTAGGTACCGGAAAATTCCAGGGGACAAATGCCAGGGTGGGGTGAATCCAGTTAGAGAAGTAAAAGACTTGAAAAAGAAATGCACAAGCAACTTTTTGAGTCCGGAAAAACAGGTATGTTAAAATAGGTCTAGTTTTCAGGTACAAATGGGATTTTGTGTTCTGCCAAGAAAAATCAAAGTTAAAACATCAAGAGTTTTGTTACTGATACAAAGTGGTCAAACTACTTCTGTCAGGCTTCCCTTTGCACAGGAAGCTGTTAGCATGAAGGATGGGTCACGTAACCCAGTGATAAGCTCACCCTACTGAAAGCTCTTTTTTTATTGAGGATGGGGGAATGATATTCTGTAAAGCTGTAAAATTCTTAAAATCATACAGTTGTGGAAATTTCTGAGGCTGAGAGTCATTTAGGAAAATTCAAAAAGGTTGTCTATGGGACGGGTACAGTGGTTCACACCTGTAATCCTAGCACTTTGGAAGTCCAAGGCAGGTGGATCACTGAGGTCAGGAGTTCAAGACCAGACTGTCAAACATGGTGAAATTCTGTCTCTACTAAAAATACAAAAATTAAACTTACAAAAATTATCTGGGGGTGGTGGTGTGCACCTGTAGTCCCAATTACTCCGGAGGCTGAGGCAGGAGAATCGTGTGAACCTGGGAGGTGGAGGTTGCAGTGAGCCGAGATTGTGCCACTGCACTCCAGCCTGGGCAGCAGAGCAAGACTCTGGAGTTGTGCATGTGTGGAAGAGAAGAGCACTGGGCAATAGGTACGGTGGATCTTTGACCATGTCATGTTAAGTATGTTCAGAGTGAAAATTTGAGCTATGGTAATGAGCAGGTTTTGATTTAGAAGCAAGTTATCTGTTGGGCGTGGTGGCTCACGCTGTATAGTTCCAGCACTTTGGGAGGCTGAGTTGGGCAGATCAGTTGAGGCTAGAAGTTTGAGACCAGCCTGGACAACATGGAGAAACTCCCATCTTTACAAAAAACAAAAAAAAAACAAAAATTAGCCAGATGTGGTGGTGCATGCCTGTAGTCCCAGCTACTCAGGAGGCTGAGGCGAGAGAATCGCCTGAGCCTGGGAGGTCAAGGCTTCAGTGAGCCGTGATTATACCGCTGCACTCCAGCCTGGGTGACAGAGTGAGATCCTGTCTCAAATTAAAAAAAAAAAAAAAAAAAAAAAGGTCATGAGGCTGCGTCCAAATCTGTAGCACTGAACTACCTGTAGAATTGGAGATGTGTAAAGAGGAAACCTCTTGATAATGAAGCACTAGACCAACAGCATGACTTCAGATGCTAAACAGCAGGCCTGTTTCCCAATTCGTAATAGGGGAGGTCAAGCTGGACCACCTGCAGTTCCTCCTCTCTGTTGTTCTAAGGGATGAAGGACTGACAAGGGGTGAGATTAAGGACATGATGGGAGAGGAGTGTGTGGGTGCGTGTATTGGTAAGGGGGCGAGTTCCTCCCTCTGTGCACCCTTGTCCTGGGCTCCTGGTGACTTTCCTCAGTGTTCGTGTGTGTGATTGCACAGGACTCCCGCCCACAGGGACACAGCTTGTCCCAGAATCCAGCTCCGCCTCCTCTGGGATACATTGAAAACACACACTCCCTATTTCCCACCCAGAAGCAGGTAGGTCACACGCAAACGATGATATAATAAGGCTTATTTGTAACAATATATCAAAATTAAGTAAAAAAATAAATCTTGGTGTCATATAATGGCCTGCCTGGTTCTTCTGACACAGCTTCTTCCCAGATAATGACCCTGTTCTCTAGGCATTCGGCCCACTGTTATAGTAGTCTCCCTTTCCTGCTCCACCCTTAAGCCCCAAGACTTGTGAACAGTGGTGCTGTGGAGCAGTCATACTTGATCTAGGCAGTTGCCAAGGCTTCCAGGGTGACTTTGACATTTAAGGCACTGAATTTGAAGGTTCAAGGCAGTTGGAGCTAAGATGACCCTCTGCCAGCTATAATACTCTCCTGGTAACACTGAGATGGTTCATCTTGGGGAGCTGGAAAAGAGCCATCCTTAAGCACATCAGGACTGCAGATCATTCACAAAGAGATGAGGGGAATGAGTGGCTGCTTTGACCTCAGTCCTAGGATATGTGTGCCTAAAACTTTTGTGTTTGTATTTTAATTTCTCAAGAATTCCAAGTCAAATTCTGTTCCAATTATCCTGGCCATCGTGGGATTGATGCTGGTCACAGTCATAGCAGGAGTGCTCATTGTGAAGAAATATGTCTGTGGGGGAAGGTAAGGAACACAGAAGTCAATCCAAGGTACTGAGTTCAAGCCAGAAGGTTGGTCTAGGGCATATGACTGAGTCTGCTCTTGGCAAAAACTAGGTACTTGCAGTACTGTTCCTGAAAAATCAGGCCCAAATCTTCTCATGTCTTACGTTTTTCCTGTGTCAACCATGGACTGTGTTTTCTGTGTCTGATGCGTTCCTGAGTGTATAAAACTGAGAAAGTCCACAGTCCTGTAAGAAACGCACCCCTGTGTGCCACCTGAGTGTTAAGGAGGTTTCTGTTCACAGGTTCCTGGTGCATCGATACTCTGTGCTGCAGCAGCATGCAGAGGCCAATGGCATGGATGGTGTGGATGCTTTGGACACAGCCTCCCACACTAATAAAAGTGGTTATCATGACGACTCGGATGAGGTGAGGCTATTTCTTCTTGAATGGTAGTACCCCACCCCTCCCCCGCAAAAAAAAAATACAAGAAAAATAATTTGTCTTCTGTTCGTGATCAAGATATGCCAGGGCCAAGGCAACTTAATGACCATAATATTTGGCAAGCCCAGAAACTAGGTGATTGCTTTTGAAATAGGAGTGTTGTGGTCTGTTGGTAATATGGTGCATGTCTTTTTCAGGACCTCTTGGAATAGCTCTTCAGAGGAGCTGGACCCAGCGTGAATGGTGGAACCACAGTACCTCTTACACTCCCTGTGGCTCCAACTTCGGGAAATAAATTTCCCATTGCGAGGGACCCAGCTCTGTTTCTGCTGCTTCCATCAAAGCCAAAAGGACCTACATTAAAGAAATGCAGGGTGGGGGTGGGGAACCCTGAGCACTGTTTTACAATTGGCTCTGAGAAGAAGGGGGACATTTTAAATTCTTTAACTTCTTATTTCTTGTCCTGTCTCTTTGCAAAGTATGGGCTTTTGTTTTTGTTTTTTAAGGGAAATGAAATGGAATTCGAAGGGACCTTTTCACTAACCTCACTTCTGTGTGTTCTGCATGGCGCCTGCCCCAGGGCATCTGCCAACTCCAGCATCAGCTCTCACAGTGTACTTGGTACCATCCCTGGGCTCTGCTGGCGAGACGAAGCAGCTGTAGAGATGAAAACAGGCTGCAGAGGCTGGCACAGCCTGGCCGGCTTTTCTCCATCTGGGGACAGTCCTACTCCAAGAACACTGCACACCAGCTCCTCACACAGATCCCACTTCCCTTTTTTGTGTTTTTCAGAGACCACAGACCACAGTGATTTTTTTCCCCCTGTTTAATTAGGCAATACCCTTGTTAATTGCCCTTTGACAACTAAGTTAAACATGTGCTTCCCACACAGGAAATCAGGAAAACTTACAGAGCAATATTTTTAACTTGGGGCAGGAAGAAGGGAGCAGCAGAGAATTGACTAGATTTAGCACCTATTAAAAGAGAAACTTTGCTTCTTCTGAGATCTTTCAAGCTGTGCTTTGTGTGTGTGCCAGTGGACTCACTCAAGGACAGGGGACAGACTTAGCTGGAAGTCTGCCCAGGCTGAATGATCCTTCCCTAGAGTTGATTGTCGGGTACACACTGTGGCCCCCCCGAAGACGGAACCTCATAGTCTTCCATGTTCCCTTTATAACTGTCATGTGGCTCATTGCTGAATCATGTCAATGGCTGCCTGTCTGCTGATTCTTAGGTTGCTGTTGTACATGGAACCAGGACTAGAGATTTTTTCAGATGTATAGACTTAAAAAATTAGAATTTCATTACCAGGCTCTCCTTCTCACCACTTTTTTCTGGCCTCACCAAGTAATTTGTTGATACGAAAATTTTGGAGGAACCAGTTGAAAACACACTTCCAGTCTAGATGATGCTTTGTGTGATACATTAATTTCTTATTTTGAATTGAAAAAAGTTTTCCATTTGATACTTCTCTAAATTAAATAAATTATAGAACGTAGTTGGGTGAATTTTGGGGTGCCCATATAGTAATGGAAAGCTGCAATAATTAGTTTTAATACAGCTTGAATATTTGCTATATAGGAATATAGTATGGAAAGTTTTTGGTCTTACTGTGTAGCTACTGTGCGGGTCACAGTTTCTCCCAGTGATTATGATTGGGACATTCTTTGGTAGATACCATTTGCTACTAGTTTATTTTGTGGCTAGAAAGTCAGGCTTTTTTGGTTTTTTTTTTAAGTGCCAAATTAACTTTCGTCAGAATGTGAGCAGATGGCTAAGTTCTTTCCTCCCCAGAATGGATTAACAGCTGCGTGGAAAGTGGGGGAGAGAGTGGATGGAGACTTTTAGAGATATTGAAACTGCAGTAGAATTAAATGAGTCAGGGAGCTTCCGTTAGAAAATAAAGTTAAGGCAGTTGTTGCGAAGATAATTAATATGGTTAGGGCTGGAGTGCACTGGTCTTTTTGCTCATTCATTTTGCATGGTTTTAAAATTAAAAATAATTCCAAAGATACGCCAGCTCACAAATGAAAGCGTCACCCTCTGTCCTACCCTCCCTCCTGCCCAAAGTGGATTTGGTGCCCGTAAAAGAACTGTTTACACCACTTACCTTTCTCCCAGCACTCACTGTGGGTAGATGCACAAATACATGGTAATCCTCTTACTCGTTTTAAGACGTAAGAAACTTAATATTCTTCTCTAACCCATATACGATTACCAGTAGAGCTAGCCATTGGTAATGGCTATTATAAGCTCTTCGCTTATGATGATATCTGGGATTTCTGTGGAACTTGGCAAATTTTCAGAGCACCTTCACTCACATAATGTCATTTGAACCTCACAATGTTCTTGGGATGGAGTCAGTTGTTCAGGGTTCCCGTGTGTGTGATAAGCAGTGCTGGCTGACTGTCTTCAGGACTCTTGGAAATCTTTATGCATTTGAGTGCTGACCACTTTGAACAGGGCAGCCTTCATGTAGATGACTTGCTGTTCTTTATGACAGGGATCAGTGGCATTTGTTTCCGAGCAGTATTTAGCACCTTTTTGCCACCTTAGTGAACAGAAAATTGTATTTTCCTGTCTTTCATGGCTGAAAACAAAAGTAATGGGAATTATGTGTTTGCAGAAACTGCCCTTCCCCTCACTGAGGGTCACTGCTCAAGAGTGCAGAAGTGGACTCTCCACTGAGGGGTCTCCCTCCCCATCCTGGTTTCCACCCCAGGCTGGCTAGCTCCATTGGTTTGAAGACTGACAGCCAGCCTGACTCATTCTCATTATTGGCTAGTTAGCTTTCTTTATCAACCTGCTCACTCACAAATGTATGTCCTCAGCCAGAGAGTAAAATCCGTTACAGAGAGCCCAAATCCGTTACAGCTTTAAAAAAAACCAGATTTCTAATTTGCCCTACTCATGTTAGGAACATTGTCTTTGAAGGTAAAACATAGTGTATCATTGTGTAAACTCCCAGGCTTGATGTAGCAGAAGAGATCATTTCTGGAGGCTTCAGGAATTTAGCATTATAAGAGAGATTGAACATACCAGTCCAAAGTGGTCCGAGTTCTTAAATCCAGGTAGGGAACTCACTCTTCTTTCTGCTCTGGGCCTAAGGGGGCATTGGGCTTTAGTGAGACCACAGCCCAGGCTGGTCTCTCCTGTAGGCTGTTAATTCAACGGCAACTCTATTTCAAAGAATAAAAGCCTTTGGAGAGTTGCGGCAGTTCTGGGGGTGGGCTCGGGAGGGTCCGTAGATCAGCTATAACTGGAACTTGGAATCGGTGTCTGCCTATGAATGGACTTCCCACCTCCTCTCTCTCGCTCTGAGGCTTGCCTCTGGGCCTCTCCATGCCCAAGCAGCCTTTCATCCCTGACAGGCTGGTAATGTGCTGACCGCCTCCAGCTCCTGCCTCGAGTCTGTAAACCAGAGCTGGTTCTCTCATGACCTTCGTCACGATACCAGGATACGGAGAGGAGCCCAGGGCCATCCACACCCACCCTAGGGTAACAGGGCTGGCCTGGCATTAGTCATTATTTAGTTTCCAGGCCAACCATCCAGGTAGAGATTCCCTCTTTCCTTTGAGCAGCGCTCTCAAGAGCTCTGTGCCTGTCCACAATGACCTAGAGTGCATCCTGCTCACTGTCAGTGTAGCCCCTCGCCCCTATATTCATCCAGGATACTTGGAACTGCTAAAATAGGAAGGGATTAGGCTTTCAGCTTTGCTGCCATCTTCCCTGAAGTAGGAAAATAAACATGGACTTAAATGTCCTTTGAAAAAAACCAAAGTTTTAAGATTTGCTGTGTGATGAAGTGACAGGGAGGGCCAGAGTCAGCAGGTGCCAGACTTTCTGTTCCATCTGCCACGGGTTTGTCCAGCTCAAGTAGCTCTGGGAGCACCAACCTGCCCTAGCAGAGCCCAGGCCTTCCCCTCATGAAGCATCATTGAAATAGCAGGAGCATGTTGATTTCTTGGTTAGGTTGCATTACCATAACAAGAGTCAGAAAATTAATTCGAAACAACTTGCAGTATGCATTTCTTCACACCAGTACATTCTTAAGTGTACTTGTTTATAAGGAATAACAAACTAATCTGTACCTTTATATATATGTGTGTGTACATATATACATATATAAACTGTATAGTGTACATGGTAATGATTTATTGCTATGCCCCAGATCCTTAATGTAGTTCTCATCCTCCGCATGCCCTCAGCCACAAGTGGGTGACTGACTGTTCCCTGATGATTTGGCCCACCTCCTGTGTTTGGACCTCTAGGGAGGAGGGTTTTGGTTATATTCTCCTTTTTCTCGTGCACAGAAATGCTCAGGGTCCCCATGTGCCTGTTGTTCAACCCTCTCTCTCGTTCCCTTTCTGAGCATGTGGTCCTTCCCCAAGCTGTGGGACAGCTGCCTTCCTATGAGAGTGTAAAGCAGTATTAAGATCATTACTGCATGTGCCCTAAAAACCCAAGTTTTCTATTCCCTTGGGACAGAAAATTGCATGTGAGGTGGGATAATCGAGTTTCAGTGACTCACATCAGTTACACATTAAAGCCAGGCCCCATAATAAAATTCCACAAAATGGAAATAAAACTCAAATTTCTTTAGCATTGTGTAAATAAATCTGAATGTGTTTAACTTTGTACTGGTAATTTTCTGTATATTTGGAATATTTGGGTTAAAAATAAAACAGACTGGACTTTGTTACCTAACCTACTGAAATGACTAAGTTACAGTTTGTTAATATGATACTTTTTCCAGTTTTCTAGCTTCAGAATCAGACTCCAGCAATCAGAGAACAGGCCAGTTAAAGAGCCAGGACTGTACATTTATAGCATGAAATGTATTCGGTCATCTATGAGGAAAACGGCTCACAAAATATGAGCCGTAAATTACCTCATTTTCTTGCTCTTTGTGCTCATACAGATCTTCCTCCTGTCGGTGTGTGTACGACCAGTGCCTAGAAAGTGTAGGCACCCACCCCACATACCTTCACAGGTTTCAGTTGCTACAGTCTTCCTTCTGGACACAGCAACAGATAATTACTCCTTGAATTCTGTGTTCTTTTCAGCAGGTTTGACACCTGGCAGCACTGAGAAGTTCAGCTTTGTAACTTCCCATCTGCCCCTCTTACATTTCCCTTGCTGTTTGTACTGGCCCTTTCTTGTCCATTTCATTTAAGGACCTTGCAAAGCGTTTAAGAGAGGTTCCCGCCCACCTGTCTGGAACCATTAGCCATCCTACCCTGCTAGCCTGGGGCAATATTCCATGTAATACTCCAGCATCTTGGTCTGAAGATGACAGGGCAAAGCCCTTGTTCCTGAGGCCACCATCTGATGGGAGAGTTTCTACACCAGGACATTATCTAAGGTCGTTGTTTTATTTGAAGGAATTCTATCTAACATGGTATTCGAAGATTTCCTGTGCCGGAATCACTAGGTTAGTTTTTTTAGGTGCAGATTTCTGGATACCACCCCAGACCTATTGAATTAGACTTTCTGATGGGCAAAGCTTAGGAACCTGCATCTTAAAGTTGATTATTTACACCTTCGTTCCAACAAAGCGCTAAGATTCAGCCTAGGCCAATTTCCTCACCAAAAGATGGGTTACGTGTTGCGTAAAAGGGGGTGTATTTGGGGTCTCCTGGCTAGGGGACTGTCCACACTTAATGGGGCCTTGGCTGGGTCAGGCAAGAAAAATAGTTCAGGAATACCTTCAAACTAGTTCTGATATGGCAAAAACCCAGTCTTCTGCCAACCAAACCAGCCCCATAGGCCATCCAAGGCCCCAATAAACAGATTGTCCTGGACCTCAGCCCCTATACCAGTTACAAAGAGGGTGAGCTTCTGTCACCCCAAGATAACACAGGCTCCTGGGATCTTACCATTTACCCCAAAATTGAGGGCAAAATGAGTAAGAAGTCAGTCCATTCATTCAACTGCACCCATTTTTTTTTTTTTCATGAAAAAAATAACAGGGGCGAGTAGGGGCTGCGGGAACCCTGTACTTTCCACTCAACTTTGCTGTGACTTTAAACTGCTCTAAAAGCATTTTAAAATGCAGGGGGATGCTGGCTTCTGGAGATAAGAAGGTGGGAGTATGACAGGAAAGCGGCAGTGGCCATGGCATGTACAACACGTATAGAAAGATAGTTTGCTAAGTCTGGAAATCCTACTAATGTGACTAGTACCTGCTGTGAGCTGGCCGCTTTCCTATAGATTGTATCATTTTATCCTCAACACAATCATGGCATCATCCCTTGTTTCACAGGCTGGGACCTGAGACTCCGAGTTGGTGATGTGCCCAGAGTCCCAGCTGGTGAGTGAGTGGTACAGCCAGAAGTCACATGCAGGTCCTCTGAGCTCGCCTCCCTCTACCACTGCTGCCTCTCCCTTTATTTGTACTGCATCTCATAGGCAAGGCAGCCATTGACAGCTCTCAAAGGGGGAAGTGCTGGCCTGACCTAAAAATAGCTTACATTTATCAAGCACTTAGTCGGGTACACTCTGCTAAGCACTTTACAGAGATTACCTCTTTAATCCTCACAACGACCCTACGGTTATAATTATCTCCATTTTACAGATGAGGAAACAGACTGAAGAGAGACTGTGATGTGTTGTGAGTCACACAGCTAGTTGGTGACAGAGCCCCAAGTGGTGCCCCGGCAGCCAGTGTGAGTGCAGTCTCCACCTACCACTGCACTGTGCCCGCTGCCCCCCGGGGAGCGTGGGAGGATGGGACAGGCCCTGTAAAGGTCGAGTTGATAAGACTTTACAACTCATTGAATGTGGGAGCAGAGGGAGAAAGAGCAGTTCAGGTATTGCTGTGAGTCAGCTGATCCTGGGCCCCTTCTTTGGGACCTGAATGCCCTGCGGGATGAACTGGAGGTCAGGAGCAGAGATGTCACTCAACCCTCCCGACAGAAATCAGAGGTCCCTTGTGGATGGTCTGTGTTCAAGCTCTCCCTCCCCCCCTGGTGCTGTGGGGGGTGTCATCTCTCTCTCGAGATAACCGGGCCACCTCAGTCCTCCTCCTGGGGCTATTCTTGGCTGCTCTTTGATCCTCCTCTCTCCCCCAACCCCTACTTCAGCCCTTCTGCAGGGCGTAGCTGAGTGGGGAAGGCCAGCCCAGTTACGTAACCCTGTGGCTGGGACCCGGGAGGCCAGCCTGGGAGCAGGTGCTCAGCCCCTCCCTCATCACCAGCAGTGAAAATCTAGAGCTGGAGCTCAGCCTCTGGGAAGGCCCAGCATGGAGGCAGCCACAGCTCCGGAGGTGGCCGTAGGATCCAAGCTGAAGGTGAAAGAAGTCAGCCCAGCGGATGCTGAACCACCCCAGGCTTCACCTGGACAGGGGGCTGGCAGCCCCACTCCCCAGCTCCTGCCCCCTATAGAAGGTGACCCATGGCGGGTGGGGAGGCTGGCGAGGCCGGGTGGTGGGAGTTGGGGAGGACATTGCCACTTTCCTGGTGGCACCTCAGGTTTTTTGCTGAGCTAAAGACTTTATAGGATTGGTGCTTAGGCTGGAGATCATTCGTGGGAGCCCCCAGCCCCTGTCCTTGATGGAGTCTGACTTGCTGCTCAAATGTCTCTGCTAAGTTTTTGTGTTTTAGCTGAGAAGTCAGTGATGATGTTGGTGGCACTTTACGGTGACTTAAAAATGATCTGTTTATATTTTTACCTTTTAAAAAATTGTCATAAGGACTGGGAGGACCTGATATACTAATGGCCAGTCAGGAAGGGACTGAGGGGTGAGAGAGAGTGGCTGTCTGCAGAAGGAACAGGGAAATCAAAAGCTATGGCAATGGGGAGGCTAAGAGTGGGGGAGCACAGTGACACTCGGCCTTCTGCTGGGCAGTGCCGCGGGGTCAGGACCTCCTCCAACCTCCAGATGCTCCCATGGGAGATCCTGACCCCTCAGAGTCTGAGCTCCACAGAGGTGGAGCTCGTCTGGGAGAAGCATTCGATTTCCCCTTCACGATGGTCTCTGTGCACCTCTCAGCAAAGAGGCGTTCCCAAGTGAGGAGGTGGTTGGCACGAATTCCAACCCCCAGCTTCCTGCCGCCCATCCCCGAATGCCCTGACTGAGGCCTCTGTAGCTAACCACTTCGTGGCGCTCACCTGGAATTCTTGAGTGAAGAGGATGAAAAGACCACAAACAAGAAACACATGGACTCCCAGGGCAGGAAGAGGCAGGGGAAAAGGTGTACTAGACTTGGAGGCAAAGCTGTAGGCTCAATTCCTAGTGCTGCCTCTAATAGCCCTGTGACCTTGGACAAGTCACTGAACTGCTTAGTTTCCATTTTCGCTCTGTAAAATGGTGATTCGTAACATCTACCTATCAGGGTAGTTGAAAGGATTGCTGAGATGATCCAGAGTGCCTTGGAAGAGGTCAAACTAAGACGTAAATAAATGATCAAATATTTCCAAGTGAGAGGTGAAGGCTGCATTCTGCCTCCATAGGGTTGTGCAGCAGATACTCTCTGCTTCTTATCCTCATGGGAGAGGCCAGGTTTCCAGAAACTGTTAGAATGTCAAGGGTAGAGAGCTGGCCAAGTTTGTCCCATTGAAGATGGGAGCAGAAGTTAGTGTTAATATATTAAGCTGGGGTGATTGAGGCAGAAAACCAGTTTCTTTCCTTAAAAGGCCCAGAGAATAAGTGACAGGCAGCAGGAGAATGAGAACTGAGACTGCTGACGCCTTGGCTGTCTCTACTGGTCTCCCCAAAACCCCAAGGGAGGGCGCTCATCTCCCCCATGCTTCTCCCCTCTGGCTGCAGCCAGCTCCTGACAGCCCCCAGTCACGGGCCCGCAAATGCAGCCCAAACCCTCTTGTGTGCGGCAGCTCTGTACACTGCAGGCCTCAGGGCCACTAGCACCCAGTGGCTCAACCCAGTGATACCCTAGAAGTCACTGGCAATAAGAATACCTTTGAATACTTTCCAAAATATATGTGCATCTGTTAACTACTTGGAACAAAGAAGTTCCAAGAGTTCAAATCTTGGCTCTGTTCTGTGGCCCGAGGCAAGTCAATCCACTCCCATTTTCTCATCTGTAAATTGAGGAGTTGAACTAAATCAGGGTCTTAACCTTTTGGTGGATATGGACCCCTAGGAAAATCTAATGAGAGCTGTGGACTCTTGCCCCAGGAAAAATACACAAAAAAAACACACAAACCCCCACTAAAGATCCTTCAGGGTGCCATGGGCCTGGACTAGATGACCCCTAAGCCACCTGAGAGCTCCAAAGCCTTTCTTCCTCCTAACTCCTCTTGCTTACAGAGAGCTCTGGGACTGAGTATCACAGTAAGCATGTGAAAACATGGGAACTAGAGCAAGCATCAGAAATAGAAATTAATTTGCAAGATCAAAACCAACTGCAAATGGCCAACAATGAGCTTTTAGTTTGGCAAGCCTGCTACGTGGCTAAATAAGCAGGAGTAGGTGGCCGGCATTGGTAAACAGTTCTATGTCTGTCCTCAGCACTACACTGAGCACTGTGTCCTGGAGACAAAGCTTGGCAGGGGCGAGAGGAGAGCTTCCAAAACAGGGAGAGGCTGGGTAACAAGCTGCATCCCTCCCATGGAGAAGGTGAGACGCTGAGGTGGAGGAGGGAGAGCCCATCTGCTGACTTCAGCAACATCGCTCCAATTGACTGTGTGTGCTCTTTCAGTCTGAACTTTTCTGTGTCTTCCAGACATGGGAAACTGAATCTCATGCCTAGGAGTGACCTTTCTTCCCGCCCTTCCTTCTGTCATTCCTTTCCTCCTCCTTCCTTCCACAAATATTTAGGTTGTGCCTATGATGTGCCAGGTGCTCATCATAGGTGCCAGAAAATAGAAATCTAACTTCTTCAAAGCCTGGGACCAGAAGTGATTCTCGCCATTGCCACCTAGGTCTCATTGGCAAGAACTAGTCTCATGGCCATCCAGCAAAAGGTGGCCGGGTAGCCACTTCTCAGAGATAGCTACACTACAGAAGGGGTAACATACACTTTGTTAGACAGTTAGCCATCTCTGTTATAGAGGTGGTGATGAGACAGTGGGATGCTTGTAATTCTGATCATAGAAGGATTGTAGCTCTTGGTCTAGAAAATAGCCACAGGGACCAGTGGCTGAATTAGGAGAGGACAAAGTTATTGGAGGAGTGGTGGGCTGGATGTGAGAGACCCTACAGGGACTGGAAACATGGGTGTTGGGACCAGCAGGAATTATGCCTGGAGCAGTGTTGGAGAGACAGTGAGCCAGGGCTAAAACCATCAAGCACTAGGGGGACGACTGTAACACAGGGACAGGGTGGGGTGGAGTCTTTTCCTCAAAGAAGTGTTGCCTGTTCCTATGTTCTTTTATTTTTTCTGACCTTAGTTTCATGGTCTTCAAGAAAGTGACACTCTTGCCCCACTCCTTTCCCATTGCATTCCTCGAAACAGGTTTCTGAGTAGACCAAGGCCACATCCTAGGCATCTGGTAATGTTTCTCTAAGAAATCCTGGTACTTCTTGGATTTCTGGAAACCTCTGGATAGTTTCAAAGCCGTAGCTAGCCTCCTGCATTCCCCCTCTTTTGGTGACCCTTCACCCACATAGGCACGTGTGTATGCAGGCTCTCTCTCACACACACACACACTCTCATACACACACGTACACACACACACCATTCACACACACGTAAACACACCCATACATTCGTGCACGTACACAAACACACACATTCACGCACATACATTCACACACACATACATACACCCTCATACAAACACACACACACACCCTCTCCACTTCTCCAGTGCTTCCATCTCAATTCTTGTCTCTCCAGGTCATAGTTAGTAACATTGGTCTGAACTATACAGCCCCTAGGGAGCCGCTGGAGAAAGACTGATCCCATAAAAGAGAATTATGAGAGGATAGGAACAATTATAGAATAGTAAACCAGGCATAAACTTTAGCAGGATAAAAGTAGGGTAGGTATTAGGAGGAATTTTCTAATCAGAACTCAAGATCTTTGGATTTGAAGTAGTTTTCTCTTTTCTTTTCTTTTTTTTTTTTCTTTTTGAGATGAAGTTTTGCTCTTGTTGCCCAGGCTGGAGTGCAATGGTGTGACCTCGGCTCACTGCAACCTCTGCCTCCCGGGTTCAAGTGATTCTCCTGCCTCAGTCTCCCAAGTAGCTGGGATTACAGGCGCCCACCACCACGCCCAGCTAATTTTTGTATATTTAGTACAGACGGGGTTTCACCATGTTGACCAGGCTAGTCTTGAACTTCTGACCTCAGGTGATCCACCTTCCTCAGCCTCCCAAAGTGCTGGGATTACAGGCGTGAGCCACTGTGCCCGGACTAAAGTAGTCTTCTCTAAGAATCTTTGAGAAAGAATTAGACAGCATTCTGTCTGAGAGAAATGTCGGACTGAGAGCAGCCCAGCTCAGAACCAAAGGCCCTTAAAGGACTTTTCAAGATGCCTTTTCTCTAAGACCCTATGAAGGGAGAAAACCAAACTGTGACTCTCACAGACCTGCTCTTAGAAAACCTAGGCTCTTAAAGACTCTAGGCTTTGGTTCACATCCCTCCTGGCATCTGAGGAGGAGAAAGACCTTGGGCATCAGGGAAAGCCATGCCTCCCCAAGGTCAGTACAATTTACACCTCGCTTGACTGCAGATGTGTGAAAAGAGATGCCTCAAATGAGCCCGGCATTCACATTCTTAGCAAAGAGTCAGATTGCGCCTGGGTTGGGTTGGGAGGCGATTGGAGCGCATGCTGCTGACCTGTTGACCGGGCGTCTGAAGCTGTCACACTGTCTCCTGCCACCTCTGCACATAGTCAGCTGTGTGAGCCTCATGCCCCTCCTCTGCCCTCCCACAGGGAGCCAGGAGCCTGCTGGGAGCAGAGGCCTCACCTGCTCATCCTCAGAGTCCATTCTAGAGACTTAAGTTTTGTCATCTTGTCAGGAAACCCACTGATAAGCAGAGAACCGGCAACGGAGCCGTCCAGGATGAGAGAGACCACCGTCCTCGCGGGCAGCCTCCTTCCTTGCTCTCTCTGCCCAGCTGGGATCCTCTCTAGATCTCAAGGGCCAGTCTGCTCCTTTTCCCCTAACTCCCCCACCTTAGCTTATGTTCCACATAAACCCGTTTCTTTCATTTTTCTCTTTGGTTCAGATGTAAGAACGCTAACATTTTCCAAGGTGTTTTTCTAAGAAACATTAGGTGGAAACACATACATCAGCTCACAGCTACCCATGACAGCCCATTCCCTACCTGAGGTCTCGGCAGGGCGGGCCGCAGTGGGCACTTCTGCCAGGCGTGAAGACCTGGGTTCCTCTCCCCGCCTCAATCCTTTGCAGTTCTTGGGTGTGTCTAGCTCCTGCTTTCCCTCTGGGCTTCCTCCCTCCAGGGGCAGGCCACTGTCTGAGCCCTGACTGGTGCTCAGTGCCGGGTGGACACTGGCGGGCAGGACACAGCTAGTGCTCTGAGAATGGGTCCTGCAGACACACAATCTTAGATGGGGAGGCAGGAGCCTCAGGTGCCAGGCACATCGTCACCGCTAGCCGGGAGGTCTCCAGAATACCGGCTTCTTTCTCGGAGCCCTCTTCCTCCCAGCTTCCTTGTTCTGGTGCTTACAGCCCCTTCCCAACGCCGGCATTCTATAGGGAGGCAGCACAGGAACAGCACAGCCACCTTCTCTCCAGCAAATGTAAGAAGGGTTATTTCCTCCCCCAACAGTGGGAAACCAAGCCCAACAAGATGAGATTTTTACCCTCCTTTTCAAGTACAGCCCTCTTTTTCAAAACACCCTTAAGTCATATCCACCCGTTTTCAACTCCTTGCTTGCTTGCCAAGATGGCCACAGGAGAGGAGCCCATCACACAAACACTTCTTCTGTTCTTCATGCCCCGCCCCTCCCAAGCCACCAGAGCCCAGCCGAGGGCAGCCACAGCAGGGTCGCTCAGCCGCCTGGGACTGCTGCATCTGTGCTGAGGCAGTCAAGCCCTGAGCAGGGCAGGGAGGACGGGCACGCAGACCTGTCAAGTCCCCTCATCACGTATTCCTGAGGTGCAGTCTAAGACAGGCACAGCCCGGGTGAAAACATAAGCCACACAGCACAAAAGGAAACTGCAGAAATCAAACGGACTGTGTGCACTGTACATTGCTATTGATCTTCATTTGCAAAGGTCTCGCGACCTTGAGATTATCATGGGGAGACTCCGGGAGTGAAGTTCTCTGGACAGTGCTCGCCGATTGAGCTGGAGGAAGGACACAGTAGAAGCTCTGTTTCAGTTGCGTCACTTACATGTTTGTGTTATGTAATGTACATATTTAAACAGTTCATCTATAAGTAAACAGACATACGTCATAGTGAATGCTTAGGGAAGTATTTTCACAGAAGTGTGCGTTAGCAAAGAGTCTGGAATCCACTATCAGGCAGTCATGCTGTTTGCCACAGGAATGTACCAGGGGTGAAGTTCTTCCAACTGCCAAGAATGAACTGTGGCAGGAATCCTGGGTTGTTGGGAACTGAAGCACTATCACATTCTACTGAAGATAACATCAGCCAGGCGAACGCCTGTGCCTGAGAAAGGAAGAGACAGCAGCCAGGAAAAGGCCAGAAAATGGTGTCCGTCTCAGCCAGGCCCCTGAGGTAGCCCAGGTAGAATATTTGTGCTTTGGCAGCTGAGACAGTGTGAGGCATCCCAGGAGGAGAGAAATGACACCTGGTCATTCTCCAAACCTACACTCAGCACTTTTCCAGGCCTCTCCTGTCTTCATCCTGGAAGCTCAAACACATCATCTAATCTCCGCTTCTCACTGGGGCAGGCCAGGGAGATCAACGGGAAATGAGCGGTGGACCTCATCTGTCCCAGAATCTGTACAAAATGATCCTCTGCAAACTGGAAGACGCCCGGGAGCAGAGTGGCCATGCAGAGGAAGGGACCCAGACATGTGCTGCCTCTGCAGTGACATCAGTGCTGTCTCCGTGGGCAGCTGGGGAGGCCAGGGTGTTGACTCTGCCTGCAGAATGGAGAGCGTTCTCCTCAGACTCAGACTTAACTGGGAGGTCAGGGTTGACATGGAAAGTGGCCTTGATAAAAGGAATGGTATTAAGGACAAACGTAGAAAAGGGTGGAAAGACAAACCACACAGACTAGGCTGGTCTGTACATAAACAGAAAAATAAAAATGCCTCCATCAGGATGGAGCGCCTCCAGATGATGGAAAGTCAGCCTTTGAGAGTTACAAATTAAGAGAACTGTCAGACTCGCGCTCCAGTGTTCTTTCTGCTGAGACTTAACATTCCCAGGGTGTTCCTTAAGCCAAGCCCTCATCCCCAAATCCCAGCAGGATGATGGGAGCACTCTTCCCCTTCCCTCTAAGAAATGCTTAATTTGGTGACTGATTCCTGGGCCACCCACCCACAGCAGGCAGCTGGAGGCAGGATTTACTTTCTCTGAGTATCCATCTCCTATTTTCTCTCTTTCCATCACTCAGAGCACCCCAAGATCTGGCTACCTCGGGCCCTGAGGCAGACCTACATCCGGAAGGTTGGGGACACAGTGAACCTACTAATCCCATTCCAGGTGATCACGCGAGAACCATACTGGGTCCATGTCTGGGGCCAGCCCAGGCTTCGGATTTGGAAACAGATGCCAAGAGTCCTGCTAGCAGAGGGGAAATCTTCCCAGCCTTGGATAGAAGGGGTCACATCACCAGAAGTCTGAGGCCAAATGACCTCTGCACTCCTGAGGGTGGGTTTGGATAGGACTGGATGTGCACCCATGAGATGGTGTGAGGCTAATCCATACCATTCGGTCTGCAGAGGCCACGGAGCTTGCAGTTAGAAGGGTTCTTGGCAGTTTGAGTGGTTATTCAGTTGGGTCATAGCTGCCCCGGGTGTTCATGACCTAAGCTCTCAGAGGTTGGGAGACTCAAAGCCATCCCCCTTTCCCAAGATCCTTAGGTTGTTGCTGAAAGGAGGAGGCCCCCGGGAGGGTCGACCAACTTCTAACTCAAGGAATGTGCAGCTCCAAGTCAAGCCTCCCTGTGGACCTAGGGTGGACGGGACCCCTACAGCAGCAGGGAGAGTCAGGAAGCCTCTCAGGGCTGCTCAAAGCATTACCCTCATTCCTCAGGGCAAGCCCAAACCTCAAGCCATCTGGACACACGATGGCTGTGCCTTGGACACCAGCCGTGTGAGTGTGCGGAACGGGGAGCGAGACTCCATCCTCTTCATCCGAGAAGCCCAACGTGCTGACTCAGGTCGCTACCAACTCCGTGTGCAGCTGGGCAGCCTGGAGGCCACTGCCACCATTGACATCCTGGTGATTGGTACGGGGGGGGGGGCGGGGAGTGGGAGATGGGGGGTCCTCAGGAACTCCCTCTCCAGGCTGAAGAGGAGCCAGCTCAGAGAGCTGAGGAAGCTGGGGCAAGGCCCCCACGTCATGTCTGGGACACAGGGTGGGCACAGGAAGGGTAGCTGAGCAGGAAAAGGGGCTGGGGCACTCCTGAAGTGACTTCAATGCATGTGGGCTGTGCCGCGCCCACTGCCATGACTTTGCCCTTTCAGAGAGGCCAGGCCCTCCTCAGAGTATTAAGCTGGTGGACGTTTGGGGCTTCAATGCGACCCTGGAATGGACACCTCCCCAAGATACGGGGAATACAGCACTCCTGGGATACACGGTGCAGAAGGCTGACACAAAATCTGGGGTGAGGCCAGCTGGGGAGGAAGGAGGGTGGAAGAGGGCATGCTGGGACAGGCCTCTGGTAGTTCCACATGGAGTGGCTGATTTCTGGCATCATGTTCGGCCCCGCAGCTGTGGTTCACAGTGCTGGAGCACTATCACCGCACCAGCTGCATCGTCTCCGACCTCATCATCGGCAACTCCTATGCCTTCCGTGTCTTTGCTGAAAACCAATGCGGACTCAGTGAAACAGCCCCCATCACCACGGACCTCGCCCACATCCAGAAAGCAGGTAAGGGAGGCACGGGGACCATGAGCTGGGAAGACTTAAGGATAGGCCGGGTGCAGTGGCTCACGCCTGTAATTCCAGCACTTTGGGAGGCCAAGGGAGGCAGATCACTTGAGGTCAGGAGTTCGAGACCATCCTGGCCAACATGGTGAAACCTTGTCTCTACTAAAAATACAAAAATTAGCAAGGCATGGTGGCTCACTCCTGTAATCCCAGCTACTCAGGAGGCTGAGGCAGGAGAATTGCTTGAATTCGGGAGGTGGAGGTTGCAGTGAGCTGAGATAGAGCCACTGCACTCCAGCCTGGGCAACAGAGTGAAACTCCATCTAAAAAAAGAAAAGAAAGAAAGAAAAGGCTAAGGATAATGAGTCGATGAGGGCTGGGGTCTCAGAAGCTACATCCTAGCCCCTCTTGGTGCCCTCAGCTACTGTTTACAAGATCAAGGGGTTTGCCCAACGAGATTTCTCTGAAGCCCCAAAGTTTACCCAGCCTCTGGCCGACTGCACCACAGTCACCGGCTATAACACCCAGCTCTTCTGCTGTGTCCGTGCCTCTCCCCGGGTGAGTGGGGGCTCTTGGGGGTGCTGTGCTGAGCTGCTTTCTGTTCCTGCCTCTCCTAACATAAGCTGAGTTGCAGAGCATTGTAACATAACATCTGTTACCATCACCGCCATTTGCCTCTTCAACAGAATGGTATTTAGGAACAGTCGGGGTGCTTGGAGTCCAAGACAGACTAATGAGAATGACATTTCCTTTTGAGTGTTTGTTTCTCATATATGAAAATGTTGCTTACTGACCTGCTGGCAATTAGGCATGCGCTTCAAGTTGTGTCTCTGGTAGGAGTGACGGAGTCCTGGTGGTTTCTCCTTCCCATCCGTACCTCATCCCATCAGGGCCGTGCACATGCAAGCTGCCTAGAGTTCAGCCTTTGGCCACAATCCTGAACAAGCCTCTCTATTTACAATCTAGTCATCGTGCTCCACACACAGCATAAAACACCATTAATAACCTGTACCAAGAACCTTTTGGGTTTTGAGTCTGGGCCAGACTACATGGAGATAACATCTCAGAAGGGGGATATCAAGAGCCCACTCTAGAAGCTACTCTCTAACCAGAGGGAACAGAGGCAACTCACAAGTCAGCAGTGGGAACAGAATATGAATGGTTCACAACAGGTGAGCCGGATGCTCAGTGCTTCTGATCCTGAGAGCATGGTATAGAAGTTAGCAGTTTTCTTCCAGTCAGAAATATTGGCAAAGAAAGTGAAGTTTCAGGCACTATTTTCAACCAAGAGAAGGAACTTGGGCGACTACTGAAGGTACTGGAAGGGGAACCCCTTCCCACAACATAAGGAACAGGGAGCCTTCCAGAAAGCCATTATCTCTATGTAGACAGAGTCCCAGAAACTGAGCACAGAAAGACTATTGGTTCTTACCCCCGCCCCTCCTTGCTGCCTCCCTCATCTTTGTCTTTCAGCCCAAGATCATCTGGCTGAAGAACAAGATGGATATCCAAGGCAACCCTAAATACAGAGCCCTGACTCACCTGGGAATCTGCTCCCTAGAGATCCGCAAGCCTGGTCCCTTTGATGGAGGCATCTATACCTGCAAGGCAGTGAACCCCCTAGGGGAGGCATCTGTGGACTGTCGGGTGGATGTGAAAGGTAAGGGCAAGAGGAGAACTAGTGCCTTAGGTTGCCAGTCACCTCCTCTCTCCACTGGTGGAAGAGTCAGGGGCCAGAGACGCAAGCCTAGGTGGAGAAGGGGCTCCTCAGTTGGACCCTCTCATCACTGTCATCATCAGGATGTCTTGGAGGAGACATTTTAATTATCTACAATCTCATTTCTCTCCATCGCAATTCAATAATATAGGAAGAATTGTTATTTCCATTTTGCAAAAGAGAAGACGAAAGTACAGGGGGAGAACTGGTTTGCCCATGATTTCCAGTGTCAGTTAATTGACCACCTGGCACTGGTGGAAAGAGCCCAGGTCTCCCTGTCCTCACTCAGCTCATTTTTCTTTATGCTGTGCAATCTTCTGACTCAGCCTAGGAAAGCTGCAGCTGTTTGTCGGGCTTTATTTCACTTTCCCCTCTTGTTTGTTTACAGGTAATATTGCATATCCTCTCTACTTCCTTAAAGTATTTAATCACTTATCTATACCTATCACCTTGTTCAGATCTCTATCATTGTGTTTAACATACTGTTTTATAATTTTCTATTTATAGATGTTTCCCTATTAAATTATAAGCATTTTGAGGGCAGGGACAGCATCTTATTTGCCTTTGTCCCCACAGTGTCTAGCCCAGTTTCTGACACACAGTAGGCACTCTAAATGTTTGTTGCATGAATTGAGAATGAATAAGCCCTTACATGTCCTGTTCTTCTCTATGTATAGACTACCTAATTAGCACCATTGACTCCCCAAAAACCTGAAATAGAATATTTCTATTTCTAATGCTAATGCTCTGAAAGAAGGTTTCTCAGAGATTTCTGAGAGGTTAACACTGATAAATGTCCGAATTATTGCAGTTCCTAATTGAGGACACCTAAGAAGATGTGGTACTCTGACAAAGGTAAGTAAAGACAGGCAAGATGTGTCAGTGGATTAGTTCCTGTTTATGGCTAGTGTTGTTGAGTCAGGGACACAGGTGCATTCCTGAGTCTTCCAGTCATGTATCCACTGGTGACCACTTTTGTTGTAACCTTTCTTTTTTTTTTTTTTTTTTGAGATGAGGTCTTGCTCTGTTGCCCAGGCTGGAGTGCAGTGGCGCCATCTCGGCTCACTGCAACCTCTGCCTCCTGGGTTCAAATGATTCTTGTGCTTCAGTCTCCTGTGTAGCTGGGACTACAGGTGCCTGCCACCACGCCCAGCTATTTTTTTTTTTTTTTTAGTAGAGACGGGATTTCATCATGTTAGCCAGGGTGGTCTCAATCTCCTGACCATGATCCGCCCGCCTTGGCCTCCCAAAGTGCTGAGATTACAGACATGAGCCACCGCGTTCGGCCTGTTTTTAAAAGCAAATACTGTCATCCCTGTGGAGAGAATGTATACTAGATGCAGTCTGCTTTTGTCATATCCTCTCTCCATCTGAACTTCTCAAGTTGATGGTAGAAATTAAACCTAATGGTCCTCTGAAGAAGAGTGACAGCATCCACCTAATCATAAGGAGGTTCTAGGGGAGGGAGCTGGGCAGGTATTGTAGGAAAAGATGTCAAGGGAACAATTCGGAGTGCAGGAACCCACAAGAGTCACAGCACCTTATGCCTGTGGGGTACATAAGGACAGGGGAGGCTGCTCCTGCTGACTGAGTAAACACCTCAGGATCATAAGCATGGTAAAAAATGGATTAATATGTTTGTTTGTTTGTTTTTACTTTGAAGCTTATAGATTCCTTCCCCTCCAAGAGAAGAAAATCCTCCTTCTCATTTATGTCAATTATAATTTAACCTTTAGGTGTGTGGTCCCAAGCAGCACATTATTGGCAAAAGGCAACTCAGCTCATCATTTAGAACTTCACAGCTCCTTTAGATTTTCCGTCATTCACAGTAGGTATGTTGTGTACAAATTGATGCATAAGGTGAAAAAGAAGCTTGAGACAGAACTAAAGAAAACAAGTTCCCAGTGTCCTCTCTGACTTGTAGCTGCTGGCTGATGGAAATTGGAAATGAATTTGATCCCATAAGACATTTATTTAAGGCTCTCACTGGTATGTAGCAAATGAAAGCCCAAAGGGATGCATTACAAGTACAGACTTCTCAGGAAAGCGCTCTCCGACAGTCGGCTTGCAGAGACAGCTCTCCCTCTCTCCCCTCCCTCTCTGTGTTAATGATACTTGCATTCCTGTTAGTTGCCCCTTTCCCTCTCTCACAGCCAGTGCCCGGCAATGAAGTGAATTCATGGCACAGGAGCCAAGGTATGTGAGAATGGTGCCCTCAGCAGCCTGGTGTCCTCTGGCCATTTGCTGTCACGGCTACAAAGTGCTATCTCTTTTCAGTGCCTCCAGGAAGCCCGCCAGTGGTGAGATTGTGTCAAGGAGCTTCGGCACCATGTCTGGTTTGGATTCATCTAAATAAATGTGTGGCTCCCCAGTGCCTAAATGTTCCTGTATTTGAGACTTTCTATGAAACATATGGAAAGTTGCCATCCTTTAGCCATGCTGTAAGGAATCACAGGGCCTTAAGACTCCCCTTTCTCTTCCCATATCCACATTCTCTTCCACAGAGGTTTTTAACGCTGTTCTTTTCCCTAGACATCTATGACACAACTGAATTCAACTCTCTACAGTACTAAGTGCTGGAAAGAGATGCCGAAGGTGACTTGCTCTCTGCTTCTATGGGCTTTCCAATTTAAGTTGGGATAACAGGACACACATCTACCAAAAAGAGGCAAACAGCAGAACACAAGTATGAACATAGCTAATTACAGACAGAGCCCCAAGACCTGAGGGCTGGAATGATACTCAAGAAATTGGAGGGTTGGGCACTGTGGCTCATACCTGTAATCCTAGAACTGTGGGAGGCTGAGGCAGATGGATCACTTGAGGTCAGGAGTTCGAGACCAGCCCGGCCAATATGGTGAAACCCCATCTCTATAAAAATACAAAAATTAGGCCGGGTGCGGTGGCTCACGCCTGTAATCCCAGCACTTTGGGAGGCCGAGGCGAGTGGATCACGAGGTCAGGAGATCGAGACCATCCTGGCTAACACGGTGAAATCCCCTCTTTACTAAAAATACAAAAAAATCTAGCCGGGTGTGGTGGCAGGTGCCTGTAGTCCCAGCTACTCAGGAGGCTGAGCCGGGAGAATGACGTGAACCCGGGAGGCGGGGCTTGCAGTGAGCCGAGATCGCGCCACTGCACTCTAGCCTAGGCGACAGAGCGAGACTCTGTCTCCAAAAAAAAAAAAAAAAATACAAAAATACAAAAATTAGGCTGGGCATTGTGGCTCACGCCCGTAATCCCAGCACTTTGTGAGGCCGAGGCAGGCAGATCACTTAAGGTTAAGAGTTCAAAACCAGCCTGGCCAACACGGTGAAAACCTGTCTCTACTAAAAATACAAAAAAATTGGACAGGTGTGGTGGTGGGCGCCTCTCATCCCAGCTACTCAGGAGGCTGAGGGAGGAGAATTGCTTGAACCCAGGAGCTGGACCTTGCAGTGAGCCGAGATCATGCCACTGCACTCCAGCCTGGGCAACAGAGCGAGACTCTGTCTCAAAAAAAAAAAAAAAAGAAAAAAGAAATTGGAGCAGAGTCTCATTAAACCCAGGAAAGAATAAAGGTGAGGTTCCCTTGATTATCTTTGTTTTCATTCTGATGACAAATAAGATATGGAAGGTGTTCTGTGATAGAATCTACAGAAGATGATAACAGTTCCTCCTGTCTTTGTATGAGCATGCTGCTCCTCTCATCAGGAGTTGGAGTCTGTTTCCCCTTCCGTTGAATCATGTGACTTGCTTTGACCAAAAGAATGTAGCAGAAGTGAAGAGGTGCCAGTCCAGGCCTGGGCCTTAAGAGGTACCATAGTTTCTACTTTTCCTCTTAGAAGTCAGCTCCCATGTAAAGGATCTCAGGCTACATTACTGAATGATGAGAAGCCACGTGGAGGACAACCAAGCATCCCCACTGACAGCCAGCACCCTGGCCCCAGACGCATGTGGCCACCTTGGACCCCAGAGCCCCAGTCGAGCACCTTGTAGAGACAAATCACCCCTGGAGAGCCCTGCCCACATTGTAAACTCATGAGCAAATAAATAGTGGCTGTTGTTTCAAGCCACTAAATTTTGAAGTGGTTTGCTATATAATCATAGATTACTAAAACAGTCTTCTATGCAACAGGCACTGAACTCAGTGCCTTATCCCTTTTAATCTTCATTTTACAAATGAGGAAGTTGAAGTTCACAAGTTGTCCCAAGTCATGCAGCTGGTAAGCAGCAGAGCTAGGATTTGAACCAGGTCTGTCTGACTCCAAGGCTTTCCTGTTTTCTCTCATCCCTTTCATCCGGCGATCCCCACTGTAGAGGGTCTAGGTTGGAATCATGTGTTTAAGAAAGAAAATATTTCCAGGAGGCAATACATATTAGGAAAGGTTTTGAGGAGGTTGGGGAAGCAATTTGGTTGAGCAGAATGTGAAGGGCTTTTTTGTTCAGACCAAAGGTCTATTTTCAGTTGAGGCAAAGTATCTATTCCAGTCCTCAACTGAGGTTCCACAAGAATTAAGCCTCCATGCCATAAGGCATCCTTTGTGTCATAAATTAACTTATTTCTATGCAATTAGAATGTTACTAGTTATATACTATCCCTTTGAAAATTGAGAAAATAGTCATGCGAATCATTTGTAGGGAACCCTTGCTTGAGAATGTCGGGGGAGGGACCAGAGTGAGTCCAGTGACAGCCAGCCATGTACACAATGGCAAAGAGGCCTCCCTCCAGTGGAAGCAGGACCTAGGTCAGGAAGGGGTGAAATATCCCCAGCTACGATGCCCTAAGGATAAGTCAGACCTTTGGCCTCAGCCCACAGCCCCATGCCTTTGCTGTTCCCTGAATTACTCAAGGGTCATCCCTTAAAGATTATATATTCCCAAACTTCATGGTGAAGAAATAAAATCACACTGCCCAAGACCTCCAGTCACATTCTGCATCAAGGGAGAAGCACGCTGGAGTCCTTACTGTTCTCATTTATGCATCTGACACTTAAGGAGGACTTCTGAGTTCAGGCCTACTCTGTGGCTGGGAGAGGTGGAATTTCTTTCTTTCTTTTTTTCTTTCTTCTCTTTTTTTTTTTTCTGTCACCCAGGCTGGAGTGCAGTGGCATGATCTTGGCTCACTGCAACTTCAAACTCCTGGGTTCAAGCAATTCTCCTGCCTCAGCCTCCCGAGTAGCTGGGACTACAGGTGCCCACCACCGCGCCCGGCTAATTTTTTCTATGTTTAGTAGAAATTGGGTTTCACCGTGTTAGCCAGGATGGTCTCGATCTCCTGATCTTGTGATCCGCCTGCCTCGGCCTCCCAAAGTGCTGGGATTATAGGCATGAGCCACCGCGACCAACCAGAATTTCTTCACTAATTCATTATTTATCCAAAAACTTAAACACCTGTTCCTACATATCATTTTGGGGTTGAGGTGAGGAAAACAAATATCAATATTTCCCAGATTACTGGCTGGGCGAAGAATTTTTGTGCCTGAAAGCTATACTTTCTGGCTTTGCTGTCTTTCTAATGGAGGTGAAAATTCTGTTGCCTTTTTTTTTTTTTTTTCCTGGTACTGCAACAGCTTTCAAAATCATAATGTGGGCTGGGCACAGTGGCTCACACCTGTAATCCTAACACTTTGGGAGGCCAAAGCAGGTGGATCATCCGAGGTCAGGAGTTCAAGACCAGCCTGACCAACATGGTGAAACTGTGTCTCTTCTAAAAATATAAAACTAGCTGGGTGTGGTGGCACATGCCTGTAATTCCAGCTACTCAGGAGGCTGAGGGAGGAGAATCACTTGAACCCAGGAGGTGGAGGTTACAGTGAGATGAGATCGTACCATTGCACTCCAGCCTGGGTGACAGAGCAAAACTCTGTCTCTCAAAAAAAAAAAATAATAATAATAATAATAAGGCCGGACGCGGTGGCTCAAGCCTGTAATCCCAGCACTTTGGGAGGCCGAGACGGGCAGATCACGAGGTCAGGAGATCGAGACCATCCTGGCTAACCCAGTGAAACCCCCGTCTCTACTAAAAAAAATACAAAAAACTAGCCGGGCGAGGTGGCGGGCGCCTGTAGTCCCAGCTACTTGGGAGGCTGAGGCAGGAGAATGGCGTGAACCCGGGAGGCAGAGCTTGCAGTGAGCTGAGATCCGGCCACTGCACTCCAGCCTGGGCGGCAGAGCGAGACTCCGTCTCAAAAAAAAAAAAAAATAATAATAATAATAATAATAAATTGGTGGAGTTTCCTTAGGAGAAATTAACTTCCAGTTTGCTAAAACTTCCTCCTCTACTCATCCAAGGATGCATGAAGTGTAGAGTTTCTCTACTCGGGCTGCTCCGAGGGGAAGAAGAAATGCAGTTCATTAACAGCTTCTTCCCTTCCTCCCCTCTGAGCTCCACTTTGCTACTACTTGCCTGGAGAGAGGGAAGCCCTACTTGGCTCTGGTTTTCCCACCCTCCATGTACCCTACATCCTGCAAGCAACTGGCATTCCATCTTCATTAGCAGAAGAGGCTATCCTCTTCTCTCTGCTCTTCCTCACATAAACTTGCAAGTTCTGGGTCTTCCCACCCTAAATTCTAAGGCTCTGTCAATGAAAAGAGTTAAACTCTACAAAATATTTGAAGAGATTTCTTCTGAGCCAAATATGAGTGACCAAGGTCACCTGACACAGCCCCAGAAGATCCTGACAACATGTGCCCAAAGTGGTTGGGCTATGGCTTGGTTTTAATCATTTCAGGGAGACATCAGACATCAATCAATACATGTGAGATGAACATTGGTTCAGCTGAAATGCCGGGCAACTTGAAGCGGGGGTGGAGGGGCTTCCAGGTCATACGCAGATTCAAAGGTTTTCTGATTGGCAACTGGTTAAAAGAGTTATTATCTAAGACCTGGAACCAATTGAAAGATCTGTCTGGGTTAAGATAAAAAGTTATGGAGATCAAGGTTTTATTATGCAGGTGAAGCCTCCCGGTAGCAGACGTCAGAGCTCTTATCAGACCTAAAAAGGTGCCGGACTCCTAGTTCTCTCCCGGATCAGGGAAGAGACCTGGGAAGGAATGGGATTTCTCTACAGAATGTAGATCTTCCCCACAAGAGACAGCTCTGCAGGGCCATTTCAAAATATGTCAAAGAAATAGATTTTGGTGAGAGCTAAGTTATGAGGACACAAAGGCGTAAGAATGATACAATGGACTTTGGGGACTCAGGGGAAAGGGTGGGGTGGGGTGAGGGATAAAAGACTACAAATTGGGTGCAATGTACACTGCTTGCGTGATGGGTGTACCAGAATCTCAGAAATCACCATAAAGAACTTATTCATATAACCAAACATCACCTGTTTCCCAAAGAGCTACTGAAAAAATATATATTGCACTGGTAAAGTCTCGTGTACATTGCCTATAACGGGATCGCAAAGGACAGGAGTTATTTAGAGCAGATGAGTAAATTTGCAGCATCTTTTAAAATAAATTTTGTGGGCTAGGTGCGGTGGTTCACGCCTGTAATCCCAGCACTTTGGGACGCCGAGGTGGGCAGATCACAAAGTCAGGAGATCGAGACCATCCTGGCTAACACGGTGAAACCCCATCTCCACTAAAAATACAAAAAAGTAGCCTGGCGTGATAGCAAGCACCTGTAGTCCCAGCTACTTGAGGCAGGAGAATGACGTGAACCTGGGAGGTGGAGCTTACAGTGAGCCGAGATTGCAACACTGGACTCCAGCCTGGGCAACAGAGTGAGACTCTGTCTCAACAACAACAACAAAAACACAATAAATTTTGTGCTTCATTTGCTTCTAAAAAAGAAAAAAAGAAGAAAAAAGAAAAAGAAAAGAAAAACATATTTTGGGGTAAAATACTTTAATTTATTTCAGGGTCTACTGTCTGTCATGTGATACTACTACAATAAGGCTGGAATTTGGCATCTTATTGTCAGAGGTGTTTGGAACAGAGCAATTCCATCTTGAATAGGGGCTGGGTAAAATAAGGCTGAGACCTACTGGGCTGCATTCCCAGACAGTTAGGAATTCTAAGTAACAAGATGAGATCCTAAGGAGGTCAGCACAAGATACACGTCATAAAGACCTTGCTGATGAAACAGGTTGCAGTAAAGAAGCTGGCTAAAACCCACCAAAACCAAGACGATGATGAGAGTGACCTCACTGCTACACTCCCACTAGCGCCATGACAGTTTACAAATGCCATGGCAACATCCGGAAGTTACCCTATATGGTCTGAAAAAAGGAGGCATGAATAACCCACCCCTTGTTTAGCATATCATCAAGAAATAACCATAAAAATGGGCAACCACCAGCCCTCAGGGCTGCTCTGCCTATGGAGTAGCCATTCTTTATTCCTTTACTTTCTTAATCAACTCGCTTTCACTTTATGAACTCGCCTTGAATTCTTTCTTGTGTGAGATCCAAGAACCCTCACTTGGGGTCTGGATCAGGGCCCCTTTCTAGTAATATTATTGCTACAAAAAGTCTGTTTCTGGCCAAGCATGGTGGTTCATCCCTGTAATCCTAGCACTTGGGGAGGCCAAGGTGGGCAGATCACCTGAGGTCAAGGTTTCAACCCCGTCTCTACTGAAAATACAAAAATTAGCTGGGCATGGTGGTGTGTGCCTGTAATCCCAGCTACTTGGGAGTCTGAGACAGGAGAATCGCTTGAACCCAGGAGGCAGAGGTTGCAATGAGCTGAGATTGCACCACTGTACTCCAGCCTGGGCAATAAAGTGAGACTCCGTCTAAAAAAAAAAAAAAAAAAAGTCTGTTTCCTTAGCCTTAAGATCTTTGTGGTGGTGGTGGTGGTGTTTGTTTTTTTTGTTTGTTTTTGAGACAGCGTCTTATTCTGACGCCCAGGCTGGACTGCAGGGGCATGATCCCAGCTAATTTTTTTTTTTTTTTTTTTTTTTTTTGAGGCGGAGTCTCGCTCTGTCGCCCAGGCTGGAGTGCAGTGGCCGGATCTCAGCTCACTGCAAGCTCCGCCTCCCGGGTTCCCGCCATTCTCCTGCCTCAGCCTCCCGAGTAGCTGGGACTACAGGCGCCCGCCACCTCGCCCAGCTAGATTTTTGTATTTTTTAGTAAAGACGGGGTTTCACCGTGTTCGCCAGGATGGTCTTGATCTCCTGACCTCGTGATCCACCCGTCTCGGCCTCCCAAAGTGCTGGGATTACAGGCTTGAGCCACCGCGCCCGGCGCTAATTTTTTTGTATTGTTTTTTGGATTTTTAGTAGAGACGGTTTCTCCATGTTGGTCAGGCTGGTCTCAAACTCCCAATCTCAGATGATCCGCCCGCCTCAGCCTCCCAAAGTGCTGGGATTACAGGTGTGAGCCACCGCGCCCAGCAAGATCTCTGTTTTAATGTTAATGTTGGTCAGCTGTGTCTGAATCCCAAAGGGCAGCGAGTATAATGAGGCATGTCCACCCCCCACTTTCCATTATGGCCTGAACTAGTTTTCCAGGTTAAATCTGGAATGCCCTTGTTGGAGAGAAGGGGTCCGTTCAGTTGGTTGGGGGACCTAGAATTTTATTTTTGGTTTCCAGCTCCTTGGTCTCTGATGGTATTTATTACAGTGACATCTCACTCCTGCAGACCTCACCACCTCAATGTCACAGCCAAAAACTAGGAAGTAAACAAGAAAGCCTATAAATGGCCAAAATAATGGGCATGAACTCTGGGGACTAAAGCCAGATTCTGTTTACCAGAAAGCTTCTCAACCATTCCTTTAGGGCTTTTTCACTTTAAATATTCAGAACCTTTGTAGGAGCTCAGTTTATTACTGGAAAGGGGTCCTGATCCATCCAGACCCCAAGTGAGGATTCTTTGATCTTTGGAAAGAAAGAATTCAGGGTGGGTCCGCAGAGTAAAGTGAAAGTGAATTTATTAAGAAAGCAAAGGAATGAAAGAATGGCTACTCCATAGAGCAGCACCAAGGGCTGCTGGTAGGCTATTTTTATGGTTATTTCTTGATTATATGCTAAACAAGGGGTGGATTATTCATAGGTTTTCTGGGAAAGGAGCATGATTTCCTTGAACTGAAGGCTCCTCTTCCTTTTATACCATATAGATGTTGCCATAGTATTTGTAAACTGTCATGGCGCTGGCGGGAGTGTCTTTTAGCATGCTAATGAATTATAACTAGCATATAACAAGCAGTGAAGATACCAGTGGTCACTTTCTTTATGATCTTGGTTTCTGGCAGATTTTGGCCGGCTTCTTTACTGCACCCTGTTTTATTAGAGGGATCTTTGTGACCTGTATCTTGTGTGGACCTGCTATCTCTTCCTGTTGTCACCAGAAAGGGGTCTGGATCCAGACCCCAAGAGAGGGTTCTTGGCACTTGCACAGGAAATAATTCAGGGCAAGTCCATAAAGTGAAAGCAAGTTTATTAAGAAAGAAAAGGGATAAAGAATGTCTACTCCAGAGGCAGAGCAGCCCCAAGGGCTGCTGGTTGACCATTTTTATGGTTATTTCTTGATTATATGCTAAACAAGGGATGAATTATTCATGAGTTTTCTGGGAAAGGGGTAGGCAATTCCCTGGAACTAAGAATTCCTCCCCAGGCAATTCCCTGGAACTAAGAATTCCTCCCCTTTTTAGACTATATAGGGTAATTTCCTGATGTGGCCATGGCATTTGTAAACTGTGGTAGCGCTGTCTGGAGCGCAGCAGTGAGGACCATCAGAGGTCAGTTTCACCGCCATCTTGGTTTCAGCAGGTTTTGGCTGGTTTCTTTACCGCATGCTGTTTTATCACCAGGGTCTTTGTGACCTGTATCTTGTGCCAACCTCCTATCTCATTCTGTGACTTAGAATGCCTAACCTCCTAGGAATACAGCCCAGGTCTCAGCCTTATTTCACCCAGCCTCTATTAAAGATGGAGTCGCTCTACTCTGAAGCCTCTGACAAGTTCACTGGTGGCCCGGGCAACATCTAGAAACAACAGAGACAACACTCCTAACAAGTTGGCTTAAGCATTTTACAAATACTGCTTTTAGTTCAGAGAGGGCTACTTACAAACACCCCGTCTAAGTCCCCTAAGGGCACACAGTAGAAAACGTCCTCATAATTATCCTCCTAACACCATAACTGCGACGACCACCATCTTCCTTTCACAGATAAGCGAAGAGAGGTGAAGAGGGCAAATATACTCAAGGCAGCCGCCTCTAACCCGAAACTTGGGTTTTGAGGTCAAACTTGGGTTGAATTTGAACCCCAGCCTGCCTGGGTGAAAAGGCCGTTGCTTTCTTTACACCTCAGCTGCCTCAGGTTCTTGAAGAGGCAATGGATGATGTACTTCTTAGAGAACCTCAATATAACTACAATGTAAGTGTTTAGGTGCTTCCTTAATTTGGAAAAAACCCTCAACGGAGGAACCCTGGCCAGTGCGGCGCCTGCATATTGAGTGCGCCCAAGAAAACGAATTTCCTCCCGTAGAGCGTGGGTTAGCGGCCGCGTTAGGCAGCACAACCGTTCTGGAGACTGGGGGCTCGGCAGCCCAGCAGCGAGAGCGGGGTGGGGCGCGAGGTCCATACTCGTGTATCCGTTCCTTCCCTCCCGCCCAGCCGCGCTCCGCTCCCATCTGCCTGTGGGAAAGAGAATCTCCGGGCACGCGAGCACGCGCACTCGAGGCCTCAACCCTCGGCTCCGCGTTGGCCGCCCGGGATGGAGTCTTCTGGGAACGGTTCTCCCACCACCCCCATCGACAGACTTCCGGCCGGCAGCTCCGCTGCCCCGCCCCCTGAGGATTCACCGATCACAGTGCGCATGTGGCTTGAGTGGGTGGGGCCTGAGAGATTCGAAAGGAGCCCCGCCCCCTCGGAGCTGATTCCCGGGACTAGGTTGCGGGAGAAAGCCTGTTGCGTGGAAGATAAGGCGGCGCGGGAAGTGGAAACAGGGTGGGCTGGAGGTGTGCTTTGCGTGTGATGCCAGGGGAGTAGAAAGGTGGCTTGGGGAGTGCAGAACCCTGAGGCTAGTGGCGGGGAGGAAGGTGAGGCGTGCAGACCGCTCCCAGTGAGGAGAGGCCAGGATGCGGGGCGGCTCCAGGGCAATCTGGGCAGTTGGGGGAGCCCTCCGTATCTTTCCTGGATGTAGCGGGAGTAGTTACGCGGGAGGTGCCACTCCTGGGTGCTTTGCCTCCAGCATGACCCCCGCCCCTGGCTTGCACCCTGAATCTAGCTGCGAGACTTGTGCAGAAAGGATACTGAGGAAAGGTATTGTTTCTCTCCAGCTCAGATCTAACTGGACTCTCGCTCCTGCTGGCTGGACATGGAGGATTTAGAGGAAGGTAAGGAAAGGAGGGAGGAGGGAAGAATGAGAGGGAGGAGTGAGACCCAGCGATGGAGAGCTGCATCAGGAACCCATGACTGGCCTTCATTCTTTCCCCTTCAGATGTAAGGTTTATTGTGGATGAGACCTTGGACTTTGGGGGGCTGTCACCATCTGACAGGTACCACCTCTTTATCCCACTTATTTTCCTCTAACAGTACCTCTTTGTCTCTAACCCCTTACTGCTGAATTACTGGCCTCTGGGGCTTGGGTTGGTAATTTAGCAAGGTTTGGCGCACTTGGGGCTGCTGGGCGGCTGGCTGACTCGGGTCTCTATGACACTACTGGTAGTGAGGAGAGAAGGGAGAAGCTGGAGTTAGATTTCAGGGTGTTAAGAAAAAGGGTAAGTGGATTTGCTGCATCTCCATCCTGGCATCATTTCTGATGTCTGTAAATGCTAAAGGCCTATTAGGCCCCATAGAACCAGGTATCTCATCACCAGAGGCCACATCTCACAGCCGGCATGGGCATCAGGGCCTAGGGTCATGTCCCTGGCTCTGTTGTGGGGCTTTCGTGCATTCTCCCTTGTACAATCTCTTGTTCTCTTTTGCACGGGCATGATGCCTGGTTTGTTTCCTGTCTCAGCCGTGAGGAGGAAGACATAACAGTGTTGGTGACTCCAGAGAAACCACTTCGACGGGGCCTCTCCCACCGAAGTGACCCAAATGCTGTGGCTCCTGCCCCCCAGGGTGTGAGGCTCAGCCTAGGCCCCCTCAGCCCAGAGAAACTGGAGGAGATCCTCGATGAGGCCAACCGGCTGGCCGCCCAGCTGGAGCAGTGTGCCCTGCAGGAGCGGGAGAGCGCAAGCGAGGGCCTGGGGCCTCGCCGAGTGAAGCCCAGTCCTCGGCGGGAGACCTTTGTGCTGAAGGACAGTCCTGTCAGAGACCTGCTGCCGACTGTGAACTCTTTGGCTCGGAGTACCCCCTCCCCAAGCAGCCTGACACCTCGACTCCGGAGCAGTGATAGGAAGGGGTCAGTCAGGGCTCTCCGGACAACATCTGGAAAGAGGCCCTCCAACATGAAGAGGGTGAGTTGAGAGGGTTGAGTTGGAGGTGTGCCCCAAACTCGTGCGTGCCATGATGCAGGCAGGGAGTGGTTTCCTTATTGTTAAAACAGGGATAATATTTCTACATCTAGAATCGTTGGAATTAAATGAGAACCATGAAAAAAGAGAACCAAAACTCTTACCACAGTGTCTGAGTATAAGCTCTGTAATGTCTGTAATAAACTCAATAAATGGTATGGGCAATAGTGATGGTTATGGTGATATTAGCTGCTAACTTCTGCCCTTCCTTACTGGGATGTAGACAACTCTCCACCTCTATTTCTTAATTCCTTAAGCCACAGAACAGATATTTTTTCCACTCTAGTCTTTTTTCTCTCTCTCTTTGTGTTTCAGGAGTCACCCACTTGCAATCTGTTCCCTGCATCCAAAAGCCCAGCATCTTCTCCTCTTACCCGATCGACTCCCCCAGTCCGGGGGAGAGCCGGTCCCAGTGGGAGAGCAGCAGCCAGTGAGGACACCTGAGCAGCCAAGTTGCGGGTGAGTGGGAGTGGGGAGTTGGTGGGACTGACTCTGAAATTTCTCCACGCCTCTCCACCAGGCCCACCCGCCCCCGTCAGATCAGTCCTGGCCCCACAGCCTTCTGCCAGCAACTCTCAACGCCTGCCCCGGCCACAGGGAGCAGCTGCTAAATCTTCCAGTCAACTGCCCATTCCCTCAGCCATCCCCAGGCCTGCCAGCCGAATGCCACTCACCAGCCGGAGTGTGCCACCTGGCAGAGGTGCCCTACCTCCGGATTCTGTGTCTACTCGAAAAGGGCTTCCAAGACCAACCGCTGCAGGACACAGAGTGCGGGAAAGTGGACACAAGGGTAAGAGGTCAGGAGGAAGAATTCCTGCCCTTGCCCGGCATGTCCTCACCCTCCCAGAGCTGGCAACAGTGACCACTTTTGCCATCCTCATTGCAATTCGATTGGAAGATGGGGAGACTGAGTTACAGGGAGGACATGGGGCTGGACAGAGTCTGAGTCTTAGTTTTCAAATACCTCATGGTCATGGGGGAGAGTACTAATCCCACACTCGTTCCCTTCATCCAGTATTTCTTTTCGAGGTCAGTTAAATTTGCTGCTAAGTCATTTCTTTTGCTAACCCCGTGAAGTTCCTGTTTCCCAGCGACCAAATCTTCCTGTCATGGGTGCCACTCGCAGCAATCTGCAGCCCCCCAGGAAAGTGGCAGTCCCAGGACCTACCAGGTCAGTCTGGTCCTCCCTTGCCCATCCTGTCTCCCTACCCTGCCATTATCTGGGATTCCAAGCTCTTATGCACATCAGCCCTGAATTTTGTATGGCAAAATGGAGCGAGGAGGGGAGCCTGGGGCAGGGGAAGGGGGATCCCATTTCTTCCCACCCTGAGGAGCTTGAACTCTGCTGGGTGACAAACGGGCTTGAGGAAGAAAGGCATTTTAAAGCAGTTATTCATTCTATCTCTTTAGGTAAAGAGATCAGGACAGCAAGCAAGACTTCAGTAGCAAACCACTACAGTCAGTACCTGGACTTGCCTCTACCCGGCAGACCCTGACTCCAGCAGATTCTGGCCCAGGGACAGGAGGAGGAGATGCCACCAGGGCTGGTCTCCCAGGAGGAGAGACCATGGGAAATGGGGTGGATTAGGATTGAGCTGGAGAAGTCTTAAACTCTCTGGGTTGAAAGAAGATTAGGGGAAAAGAGGTCACCTTCCAGCAGTGAAATGAACAAACAGAAAATGAGAAGTACAGGCCAGTGGTTTGTCTTTATCCACCCCCACAGTTGTGGTCAGCCCCAGAGAATTTGATCTTCCTCCCCAGCATTGGTTCACTGGACATTTCCATATGCGTGGCCTCTGTCGCTAACCTCCCTGCCCTCTGAGGAGCCGTCTTCCTGAATTGCATTCTCTACTGGACTCCGGCCTGCTTGGAGAGGTGGCAGCAGGCACCTGGACTTCAGAAATTGTTTCCTGTGAATTCTGTGACTCCTAATAGGCCAGTTTGTGATAAGCTTACTCTATGAGTCTTCATTTTTCTAAAATAAAGTGAACGTATTTTTATATTCTCTGTATATCTAGAAGTGGATCCTGCTCCTATTTCTTTCTTTTTTTTTAGACAGAATCTCACTCTGTCACCCAGGCTGGAATTTAATGGCACAATCTGGGCTCAGCGCAACTTCCACTTCCTGGGTTCAAGCAATTCTCCTGCCTCAGCCTCCCGAGTAGCTGAGATTACAGGTGCCCACCACCCACGTCCGGCTAATTTTTTGTATTTCTAGTAGAGATGGGGTTTCACCATGTTGGCCAGGCTGGTCTCAAACTCCTGACCGCAGGTGATCCACCCCCACCTTTGCCTCCCAAAGTGCTGGGATTACAAGTGTGAGCCACTGCACCCAGCCCCTGCTCCAATTTATTTTCCCTTTTTTTTTTTTTTTTTTTTTTGAGACGGAGTCTTGCTCTGTCGCCCAGGCTGGAGCGCAGTGGCACGATCTCAGCTCACTGCAAGCTCCGCCTCCCGGGTTCACGCCATTCTCCTGCCTCAGCCTCCCGAGTAGCTGGGACTACAGGTGCCCACCACCACGCCCGTCTAATTTTTTGTATTTTTAGTAGAGACGGGGTTTCACCGTGGTCTTAATCTCCTGACCTCGTGATCTGCCCACCTTGGCCTCCCAAAAGTGCTGGGATTACAGGCGTGAGCCACCGCGCCCGACCTTTTCTTTTTTTCTTTTTTTTTTTTGAGACAGAGTTTTGCTCTTGGTGACAAGGCTGGAGCACAATGGTGCAATCTCAGCTCACCACAACCTCTGCCTCCCAGATTCAAGTGATTCTCCTGCCACAGCCTCCTGAGTAGCTGGGATTATAGGCATGCACCACCACGTCTGGCTAATTTTGTATTTTTAGTAGAGATAGGGTTTCTCCATGTTAGTCAGGTTGGTCTTGAACTCTTGACCTCTGGTGATCCACCCGCCTCGGCCTCCCAAAGTGCTGGGATTACAGGTGTCAGCCACCATGCCCGGCCCCCTGCTCCAATTTCTAACAAATTTGGAGTAAATCTCTAATTCCAGGCAGGTAGCCAGGATGGGCCTCCTAGGCAGGGGCCTGAATAGGCCCTAGGGCCTTGAGATTCTGGCTCATCAGGCTGTGACTGCTCCCCTTGATGGCATTAGACAAAGGACAGGCTGCCTTTCCCCCAGGTCTCATGTGTCATTGGAAGGTCCAGATGAAAGTTAAGTGTAGCTTAATTCACAGTAAGTGAGGCTATTAAGCTAGGATCTAGGTAGATTCTTATTTATATCCTAAACTTGAATGTCCTTTACTGGCAAAAGAATGGAGCCTCCTGGAAACACACCAGCTTCGTGTTTGCTCTCCCTGTGAGACACGAAGGCCCTTTGGTGGTGTTCATCTCCCCTAGTCACCTCAGCCAGAGCTGCTGGAACACCTAGTCACACTCCGACTTACATCACTGGGGTTGTCCGTGCTCTCCTCATCTCCTGTTAGACTTGGGGGCCAGCATCAGGATCCGGTAAACCTCTGCAGTACCCTAGTGTTGTGACCTGTGTGTAGCAGAGCATTTAGTTTATTTATTCCGAAGATATTTGGGTGCAAGATGGTGTTTGTTGAAGGAATAACAAAGACACGTTGAACAGATTTGGTGTAAGGCCTCCCTTTTTTTTTGCAGTCTTTAACTCTGGTAATCAGAACCAATTCAATTCCTTCTGAGTTTTGAGGAAACTTCCCTCCCTGAAGGCCAGGCCATGACTTGAGAAGTGGTAAGTGGGCAAGAGAAGTGGGACTGCCAGCTGGTGCCCCGACCGATGCCTCTTTGGCCATAAATGCCTGACTTAGGCACCAAAGTATCCTTGCCCTGTCCCTGGAGCCAGGGGCCCACCACTGCTTTCCCCTTTTTGCAGCTGATTCCAAGGTTCACCTGGCACATTCACCTACTTCAGTGACAGTGCCTAGACATGCACCTTTCCCTGAGCTCTGCAGCAACTCCTGCAGCCTCTGGGATTCCAGGAATCCGTGGGAGGGAAGGGGTATGCAGACAGACACGGAGTATTCGGCTCTGGAGAAATTTGGTGTAAGGCAAGAAACCTCAGGTGTGCTTCCCAGCTGCGCCCTGCACTGGTGTCTAGTGAGCAGGGCCTGTTGGTGGCTCCCAGGCCAATAGAAGCACTGGAAGGTCAGCAGGCTTAGGTACACACCTGGGTGAGGCTGGAAGGTGACATGTTTGTGTGGGCTGGGTGTGAGCCATGTCCAGGGTAGGTCGTTAGAGGCAAAACAAGCTGCAGACCCATGTGTTGTTGCCACCTGGCGGCTAGAGAGGGCATGGCACATCCTGTTCACCCTCTTGGTCAGCCTTGAGTTTTGTCCCCACCCCACCTCCTCCCACTGCAAACCTGCTTCAGCAGCACTTTCAGTAGGCAGTGCCAGTCAGGGAGGAGGCCCTCCTGACACGGCTGCCCTTCTTGCTCAGCCACCTGCCTGTCTCCTTCCCTTTGGGCCTGGCTTTCGACTTTTTCTGTCTATGCACTCTTCCACTGCACCCAGTACCAACAACACAGAAAGCCAGTGTTTACTGGCCTCTTACTATGTATTATGAACTGTTCCAAGCACTCTACATGTGTTAACTCAATCCTCACAAAAGCTCAATTAGGTGGATGCTTTTATCATTATCCTCATTTTGTGGGCAGAGAAACGTAAGGCTCAGAAAGATTAAGTCACTCAGTCTGGTTCCAGGGTTTGTGTCTTTTTTTTTTTTTTTTTTTTTTTTGAGACAAGGTCTGGCTCTGTTACCCAGGCTGGAGTACAGTGGTGCGATCTTGGCTCACTGCAGCCTCTGCCTCCTGGGCTCAAGCCACCTCCCACCTCAGCCTCCCTAGTAGCTGGGACTACAGGCACGCACCACCACAGCTGGCTTTTTTTGTATTTTTTGTAGATATGGGTTTCACCATGTTGGCCAGGCTGGTCTCTTAAGTCCTGGCCTCAAGTGATCCACCTGCCTTGGCCTCCCAAAGTATTGGGATTACAGGCGTGAACCAGTGCGCCCAGCTAGGGTTTGTGTTGTTTTTTTTTTTTTTTTTTTTTTTTTTTTTTTTTTTTTTTTTTTTTGAGACGGAGTCTCGCTCTTTCACCCAGGCTGGAGTGCAGTGGCGCGATCTCGGCTCACTGCAAGCTCCGCCTCCCGGGTTCACGCCATTCTCCTGCCTCAGCCTCTGGAGCAGCTGGGATTACAGGCGCCCGCCACCACGCCCAGCTAATTTCTGTATTTTTAGTAGAGATGGAGTTTCACCATGTTGGCCAGGCTGGTCTCAAACTCCTGATCTCTCAGGTGATCTGTCTGCCTCGGCCTCCCATAGTGCTGGGATTACAGGCGTAAGCCACCACTCCCGGCCGTCTTTCTAGTTTATTGAATGGAACTTTGGCAAACACAAAACCTGGAACTAGGCCGGATGCGGCAACTCACATCTGTGACCCCAGCACCTTGGAAGGCCAAGGCGGGAGGATCACTTGAGCCTAGGAATTTGAGACCAGCCTGATCAACACAGTGAGACTCCTGTCTCTATTAAATTTAAAAAGTATGTATTTTTAAATATATATCTCATATATATATATGAAACTTAGGACGAGAAGTAATGTTGCAGAGCACACACTTGGCTTCAGTATGAGTAGCTGCTTCATTTTCCAATGGGGAAAAAAACAAAAAACCACCCTGAGCAGTGTAGCTAGGAGGCACTGAGTCACTGAGCACCATTCAATTCCCACCAGCTTCTCAATGCAGCCCTCCCTGCCTCTTGAATGCTGCCCCAGAAAACTCAGCCCTGTCTAGGACTCAGCCCTGAGGGGCTGGGCTGGAAGGCTGCCGGCCCTGTGCAGCCTCTCCCACCACAGAAGTCCTTTCTGTCCTGGTGAAAAGGACACTTTCCTGCCTGCCCGCCATGTCTTCCTTGGAAATGCCAGGAAATGGGCTCTGCGCTGATCCGGCTACTTGGGAGCAGTGTCATGGACATAGACCGAGGGACAGGCTTATCAACCAGTGGTGTCTGAGTCTCCCGACCTCCCAGTGGGGACTTCTGGGCCCTGCCAGCTCTTTTGTTTTCCAGAGACCAGGCCTTCCTCCCTGCGGGAGACAAGGTGCCACACAGAAACAGACAGTGGCAGTGCTGTACCCGCACAGAACTAGTTTATTCAGTAGTATGGGGCATGAAAAAAACAACAACAAAATGCTACCATATTTACAGCAACAACCGAACTGTACAATCTGATGGTTAGTATCAAGTTAGCATCCAGCATCTTTGTATTTTTTTTTAAAATCAAGTCATCAGTAGTAAAAACCAGTTAAATTTTTAACCCTTTACAGGAATTGCTGAGGGGAGAAGACAGGGGGAGAATCCATGGCAGAAAAGCCAGAGGCCAGCCTCACAAATGAGAAACAGGAGCCTTTCTTTCCTGCCCACAGCCTCTTTTTCTAGCCACCTGCTCCAGAAGGAAAGTCAGTGACAAGTCTGGAATACATGCTTGGAGTAAATGGTGACTCAGATGAAAAGCAGTCGGCAAAACTGAGGAGAGGGGAGGAGAGGTGGGGAGATGGCGGCCTGGGGCCAGGGGAAGGGCGTCGAGCCCCCAAGCCAGGGCTGCTGGGAACACACCCCGCCTGTGATGGCCATATCAGACCCCCGGGACTGGACACGAACCCATCCCAACACAAAAAGCAAATAAATAAAACAAATATATTAACTCTCTCTTCACAGGGAGTTGGGGTGGAGTCGGGGAGAAAGAGGAACAGGACCTAGTCCTTTGAAGAAGAGAGCCAATTCCAAGAAGGGGTTAAAAATAGAACATGTCTCAGAGGCCACAGCAGGTTAGACAAAGTAGCATTTGTCTGATTTTGGGGGCGGGTGGGTGAGTGGACACCAGAACCCAGACTTGAAACCTGTGCTTGAGCACCCTCAGGGCAGCCGAGCCAGCACTGTGTTTACTCTTCCTCCCCCACCCACACCACAGCAAAGAAGCGCAACTTAACACATGACTGGCCTGCCCCAGGTGCGGGGCGGGCAGGAAAAATGAAGCA